ATCTTGCGAGAAGCAGAGCAGCATCGCTCCGGCACGTCCATGACTATGATGACTTCTCGGCCAGAAGGACGCTCTGCCAAAAAAGGCCGAGGTGGCTATCTCTTCTAGCACGCCGGCAAGGACGATGATGAGGTCAAACCTGAGCAAAAGGAGGGCGTTGCACGGATCCTGCTGACGCTGGACCGGAGGTCCGAAGAACAAAGACCTGCTGACCCATGACCGCCGTACCGCTTGGGGGCGTACGATCAGCCCTCCAAATCCGGAGGCACATAATTCTCTTGAAGTTACTCAGCACTGATGTCACGCAGAGACAAGCTCAGACACTGGCCAGTTCCAGCCAGCTTCATGTGGATGAGAGAAGAACTGTGCGCAGCCAAGGGCAGTCAACAGGGACTCAAGAAGCATGTAGACAAAACCACAAGCTCGGACATCCAGTACATCCTGCCAAAAAGTCTACGTTTGGGTGCTTTTTGCTGAGCGGCTCAAGTCCCGAAACTGCAAAGCCCTGTGCGCGATAAGGTAATCAGAGCCAAACCTACCTACGTCAGCAGTGGCCGTGGCCCATGACAAGAAGAATCGCCAGCATAGCGGCAGGTTCATGATCGAGGCGACAATACTGGCGATGCTGTCGACAGAAAGAAACAAGCAAAAGACATAAGTTATCATCGCAGCAGAACCAAACACCAACAGCAAGGAGAGAATGCAGCAATCATTGCCACTCATATCAAAAGGTAACATCGTAAGTGATCAAAAATCCACGGAAGATAGGGCAAAACCACCATACCAGTACCCTTCCCTTCGGTAGCAACATTCCCAAACAAACCCCAAAACCCTAAACCTAAACCCTAAACCCCAAACCCAAACCCCTAAACCCTAAACCCCTAAATCCCTAAACCCTAAACCCTAAACCCTAAACCCCAAAATCAAAAAAACCTTAGAGCATCGGCCTGGAGACGCCAGTGGCCCATCCTGGTGGTGCGTAAGGCGGGAGCTGGGACTTCCCTTACTTAGCATCTGCAAGGGTTCTAGAGGGGATCTAGAAGACTATACGGGATCTATAAGGGATCTATAGGGGATCTATAGGACTACAAGGGATCTATAAGTCCGAAAGACCCAATAATTAGACACTTGGGTTTAGGATGGTAGAATGGCCTTCACGAGGCTGCTACAGGGGAATTGGAAGGGTTGTATAAGGGTAGCCTTGAAAGGGCTTCAGAAGGGTCATAAAGGTCTTGTCAGAGTTTTACACGGACTTGGAAATCAGTCTCTCGGTTCGGGCATTGTTACAGCGAGGACGCTACTGTCTTTGCAAGCCTCCCTTGCTCACCTCTTCACAAGTCGGGCTGATAGTTTCACATTTAGGGACTTTGGGGTTTACGGGATGAGGGATGCATTGCGCTGGTCGAGGGAGCGGCTTTTTCCAGAGCCAGCGAACAGTCGAAGTCCAAGAAGAAGGAAAAAGGGAAGGAAACTGCAACCCGTGTCGTGAGCAAGAGACCCGACTCCGCCTGATTGAATCCTGCAGACATTGTCTCCCACCCCGGCCTTTCTGGTACAGCAGCCGTAGCTAGCAGTAGCAGTAGCAGTAGCAGTAGTAGTAGTAGTAGTAGTAGTAGCAGCAGTAGTAGCAGCAGTAGCAGTAGCAGTACTCGACTCAAGCACCCGTTGCATCTCGACAGGTGCCTCAACCCTGTCTCCAGACAGTAGACCGCCAGGAACACCTCGCTGCAGAGGATGGGAATCGCACATGATTGCATCCATACATGCATACCTACATATGCACGCATGTGCTCATTGTGTGCGCTTGTGAGCCGGCCTGCAGTGTGGAATCCATACATGCTTGCATTGCTGTATGCTTATGCGTGCGACTGCATGCATCTAGCTCAATATTTAAGTATATATGATTATATGTACCTGTATGACCGTATGTCTGTCTGCCTGTCTGTGGACCTGTCGGTCTGTAGGTACTGATGCAAGTATGTACGTACGTACGTATGTATGCATGTACGTCTATATGTACTACTTTTCACATGCACATGCAGGTGCATATGCATATGTATGTATATATGACTGTGCATGCGTCAAAATGTGTATGTAGGTGTGCACGCTTGTGATTTGGTGTAGACGTGCACGTATGCATGTATGTATACACGTCTGTCGTTTGCAAATATAATAGACGGATGTATGTACATACGCATGTGTGTATGCAGGATTGTGTAGTGTAGGTATGCGTGCATGTACTGTAAGTGTTGGCTGGCTTGCGAGAATATAGGTATGTTTTGTGTGTATACCACCAGCATGCATTCCTGTATGCATGTGTGCATGTGTCGTTCGTGAATACCTGCGCAATTGCACACACATGTGCATTACGTTGCAGTCCTTGCAATGCCTTTCCTGCCTTCCCAATGCTTGCGAACCCACCACTCCGGCAAATCTCGAAGGGATGCGAACTGGATTGGCCGGGCAAGAGCTACTACCGAAGTTGCAAGAGCAGAAGGAATAGCATCAGCAGCCCACTCTGTATGCAGGGACCTTCGCAAAGCACACTTCAAACGCCTAGTACTAGGGGTGGCAAAGCGATCGTGAAGGAGGAGTCCCCTTAGAGAAAGGGTAGGCCGCCCCGTAAAACCGAAAATGAGACGAACCCTGAACCCCTAAACCCTAAACCCTGAAGGTCCGCGCCGGGTCGAGGTACCAGAGCCGATCTCGCCAGTACGGAAAGACCTGATACATAGGTGCGAGGATGGGGCCGAATGAGATAAGGGCCTTAATGATAGGAATAGGGTTTTGGGGCCCATTATACTATCATTGTAACAAGGAGCCCCCAAAATAGTATAGGTAGTTATGTAAGCCCCTACAGTAGCTTACAAACCCAAGTAGTTCAGCATGTAGCTCCTTGGCTTCACGAAAGCCTCCTACCCCGAACTAGGAGGCATGCAAGAAGTACAAACTTCGAGGTCTGCACAACTCTGTCAAACTCCGCGAAGCCGAGGCAAGGGCACTTTGCACCAACAACCAGACCGTGTTGATGCAGATCACTGCCTTGGCAGGGCAGCAGACAGTCAAGGGCTGAGAGCGTCGGCAAGCACCAAAGAGTGGGAGGGGGCATCATGAAATACTACAGTCCGTTAGCATCTCACTTCAAGCTCGCCCCTTCTTCATCACCTCATGTCCACGAGATCTGAAACCCACAACCCTTCTGCCCCGGCTTCGAGGTACGATAACATCTCCCGGTGCTCCCCGAATCCGTGGCAAGTCCCCGAGGCTCTGAGGCCCAGGCCCCGATCAAGATCTTGAACCAGTTGGCCTACCAGGGCGTCTGAGCATGGCCTAGTAGTAACCTTGTGGTAACCCTTATAGTTGAGAGAGCCCCCAAAAAGAAACCCCTGTTTGCAACCTTTATAATAACCTTCATAGACTCACCCTCATAGAAAACCTGATGGCTACACTTCGAGTAACCTTTACGGCAACCCGCAGAGTAAGCACGGAAAGCCGAGGACGATGCATGGTTCATCCAATCTCATACTTGGTCGTTGGGGTGTAGGGTTTAGGGTTTAAGGTTTAGGGTTTAAGGTTTAGGGTTTAGGGCTTTAGGGTTAGGGTTTAGGGTTTGCAGTATGGACCCTAGACCGCACAGGGCCCTGCTGTAGAACCGTGGTTGCATGAGTACTAGTACCTCATATAAAAGCCTGGATCATACCGGTGCAGGCGACAGGCGATCAGTCCCTTCTCGCCTGTTGTATGTTATCCCAAAAGACAGGCTGAAACATTAAACGCCCTAAGCCCTGAAACCTTCAAGCCCTGCACTCATAGCACGGAAGTTTTTTCGAAAAAAGCAGCAACGTCTCGCGCGCGGATGCATTTGCATTAGAGTAATCAATGTCGCGCCCCCTTGCCTGGCCGCAGGTAAAGAGCCTCACTCTTCAGAGTGAAACGAAGCACAGAAGCTTCCCTGAAAGGCCAAATTAGCATCTTGATCAACACCACAACCCCGAAGCAAGACCCGAGGACGGAAGAAAGCCGTTTCACCTCAGCGTGATCTCTGGAAGAACCGAGCACCAGCACCCCAAGCATGGGAGCAGGGACACACCTCCTCTGAATAAGGAAGGAGCTGAACGAGGATAGAGCCTGTTCTGGGATGCGAGTGGGGAACCACCACCGACCCCAGACGCGCCGCAGCACGGAGATCCAGCAAAGCGAAGCCAAGAACCCTTTACACATCTTTACACTGAAACCTGAAATGAAATCCCTGGCACCCACCAACACTTGCCCAAACCCTTTCACCCAAACCAATAGAGCCTGAAGAACCTAAACCCTAAGCCCTAAACCGTTAAGAAGGTCTACGAACAAAAACTCCGCAAACCCTTCACCCCGGAGTGGCCGCGTGGCACGGACCAGCCAGCTGCTGTCTTAACAGCCGGATGGCCAAGAGGCGAAAGGCAGCAAGACCAGGAGACAGGGCTTCGAATCTTCCGGGAATATAGTATAATGTAGTGTAATATAGCATAATGTAGTTTAATACAGTATGATATAGTATAATAGAGTGCTGGTGTAAAGGTCATGTTGACTATCAGAACGGCAGCGACCACAGACAACTCCGATTTACCTAGCCTTTCCTTTCGTAGTCCTAGTCAGCTGTGAAATAATCTCTGCCGTGTGGTCGTCTAGTAGTTTACAATTGTCTTGAACTTCAATTACACGGTCGTCGCTTCTTGTCATAGCGTGCTTACCGAACATGTGGTGGCGGTGAGGATGATGCTGCAGGTGGAGACTGCGACCGCTCGCGATTCTATTCGACTTCCACTTGCTCTAGACGTATACCGGACAAGCAACACCCTACACATGGACTGCACAGGAGGGAATCTCGACTATCAGTTTCGAACGTCCTCACGTGTCGGCTGGTTTTCTCCGTACTTTTGAAGTGTCCGAAGCCCCGCCATGCGGCTCGCATAGGAGCCCGGGTGCGCTTGTCAGACACTCTCTGGGGGCACCCAGGAAGGTCAGAGAACCCCACAAACGCGAGAGCAGAGAAGGCTCCCGAGCTGTCTCAGAAGGCCACCCGCCTCCAGAGCAACCTCAGGCGGGCTTTCAGTGGTTTTTTTTCTTTTTCTACAGTGCACTGCGCCCCTTTGCCATGCTTCCAAAGCGGTTTTAGGGTTTAGGGGTTTGGGTCTGGGGGCTTCGGGTTTCGGGTTTAGGGTTTAGGCTCCGCTTTCAGCTGTGAACTTTTCGGGCCGGGATGGGCTCAGAAGGCAGAAGGTTCAAGGAGACACGAACCCTCCAAACGAGCCTAGTCTCAAGACCAAGACCCGATGCAAGCTCGACGAAAAGTTATCCAGAATCCAAACTCTACCAAACTGCTCCTACCAACCGGCCTGCAATAAAAGCCCGAAACAGTATATCATACAAATTATGTTATACTATATATTATACTACATTGTACTATATTGTACTATGTGTCACAACTACATTATACTATACTATACTCTATTGTACGATATTATACCACATTATACTATATTGTTCTATGTGTCAAAACTGCATTATGCTACATTCTACTACGCTATCTTACATCGTACTATGTTATACTACATTATAATATACTATACTATATTTTACTATATTATACTACATCCTACACCATTATACTATATTATGTCGTTTCAAGGATCCCACCTTCGCTCCCAGGTCCAGAGGCTCGGAGAAGTTCCCCTCGCGATCGGAGACCGCCACCTGGCACTGCCCGGGCCAAGCGGCGCTTCCCCTGAAAGCAGGCGCTAAACCCAGGCCCTCTGAGCACGAAGTCCTATATCCCGGGCCTAAACCACGAGTCCTGAATCTTCATGGATACGCACTAAACGCTACATCACGTTACGGAGTGCTTCATGAGAGCTCTTGACCTCGCGGTCGCGGCACTGCCACGAGAGCATGAATCGAAGACAACCCAGATCACACTCCCGGGGTTGTTCCCTGCCCCTTCGCTACCCGATACCCCAGCAATCCAAACGCAGAAACAGCTCCCTTCCTATCTGGTAACTCCCTCGCTCCTCTTCGCACTCCCAGAACTGCCAGAGCTTTGGTCCCAGGTAGCAGGAGCTTTGCCTTGATGAAGGACTGATCCTTTTCGTCCCCGGTGTCCAGCCGCAGCCTTTAGGGTTTAGGGTTTAAGGGTTTAGGGTTCAGGGTTTACGGTTTAGGGCCTTGGGGCTTCTGTATCCCTAGCCGTTGGGCCACTGGACTCGGAGTCACGCCTTGAAGAACGAGGACAGTCATGTTCCATGGTCCACAAGGGTTCTTTGTTGGGAAGACCCCAAACCCTGAATACTTGAACCCTGAATCCTTAACCCTAAACCCTACCCTTACAACCTGAAACCCTCAAACCCTGAACCCTAATACCTTAACCCCTAGTTTCTTCAACCCTTTGTATATTCTACGCCGTATATAATATGGTGTTATACTATATTATGTATATAGTATTCAATATGCTTTATTCACGTTTATGCGAATTTGCAATTTTATACACATTTGCATCATCTTACAATCAATTATATTTTACTACAATGCAACAAAATATTTCCCACTATATCATATTAGACTATCTTGGATTGTGAAATGTTATAATGTACCATCTTACGCTATCTTAACCTAATTAGAGTATATTGTATCCGAAATACGATATTTCAAACTAGACATGATCTCATAAGCCTAAACCCCAATCCTTCATGGCCGGGCCGCTCTCCAACGAAGCCTTTTTCTCTGAAGGCTTTGGCCTCCAAGACCTCAGGAAGGCTCAGAACCAGCAGCAGTTGCCGTAAGGTTCACCCATAAGGGCTGAGGGTTTAGGGGTTTGGGGTGTAGAGTGGGTTTTGGATCCGGGGTTTAGGGAAGAGGTACTGCTGCTTCACCAGAAGGGTCGATGCATTAGGGGTTTAGGATTTAGGGCTCAACGGTCTCGGGCTTAAGGCTCAGGGTTATTACCGGAGTACTCCAGTCTAAGGAAAAGGGTCGCCATAAGGGCTCCTAGATATACAGTCCCTCCAATAGACTAGGTTTAGAGCACGGATCCTTCTTCGCTTTGATAATGGCAGCCGACGGCGTAGAAAAAAGGAATGACAAGAAATACCACTCCATCCAGAGCACAGCAGATCCCAGGAAGTCGTCTTCGGACATGTAGTCCTTCCAAGGAAAGGCTCCAGGTTGGGGATGGAGTTATGCAGGGGGGCAGTTCCTCAGCAGGTTCTGATCATCCTTGCCCTCATTCTTGGAACTCTGGTCCTCATCGTAGACAGTGAACTTCAAGGCATCGCCCTCCTGGTAGCCACCTTGGCTTCGGCAGCTGGGGGAGTTGCGCCCTGACCAGTACCTACGGATGTAATTGAGGGACTGAACTCTCAACCTTAAACATACTTGGAGGATCATGGGACTTAGTAAGTAGGGTTATAAGTACCTTTATTGGGGATTTAAGTAATTATAGGTATGGTTACCTGAATTATAACCCTCCAGCAGCAACAACGAAAACACCCGGCGGCTGCGGTGCGCAGAAACTGACTGCACAAACTCACGCAGTATGGAGCGTAGACACCTGAATGACCCAGGCGGAGTGTGAGTTTGACACAGATTCTCTTAAGTCCGCCAATGACGCCGAGAGGCGAACGCGATGTTGATAGTTCCACTGCCTGGGAGAAGAAGCGGCACTGCCGAACACCCCAAAACCCTCAACCCGAAAATCCCCGACCCAGATCTTCGCAGATAGCCAATGGCACAGCCATGGACAAGGGGAAGAGGTTTCGGATCCAGGGGACTTTCGGGGTTTGGTTTTCAGAGGGCCTCAAACTTTGAAGAGGCGGCTGAAAGCTGCGACGCACCAGGTTCGTGTGGGGATCAGAACACGCAAGTAAGGCCCCTGACTTCGCAGGCCTTGGGTCTCCGAAAGCTTCTTACAACGGGGCCTTCGGGGTGTATTCTGGTACAGCTGAGGCAAGGAACCCTCAAGAAGAGTATGGGCGATTCTTTAGCCGCCCCCCCCCCACCTTTGTGAAACTCATTGAAACTCCCAAGTGGGGCGCGGAACCCCTCGAACAAGGCCAAGCCGAACACCGAAAGCAGCTGCTGGGCCCATGGCGGGGCCAAGGACCGCTCAATCGTCTGCGAGCGGAAGCGGCTGGTGGCTCGGCCCTGCACCTCACACCTGGGCTTCTCTGGAGGCTTGAGAGCGCCGTGCAAGGTTTCCCAGAGAGCCCAATACCCCTTAATTAAGGAACATGGCTTAAATTATATAGGGCTCCATATTATGATTTAGGCCATATTCCTTAATTAAGGGGTATTGGGCTCTCTGGTTTCAAGCAAAGGCACTTCGGGTCTTGAGGGCTACGGAGCCTTGACGCTGGGGCAGGATGTCTTGTGCTGCTGGCTTGGGTGTGTTTTCCCAAACGCAAGGTCCCGCAGACCCCAGAAATCCGAATGCCGAAGCCTCAAATACCAGCAGTAGCAGTAGCAGTAGCAGTAGTAGTAGTAGTAGTAGTAGTAGCAGCAGCAGCAGCAGTAGTAGTAGCAACAGTTAACAGACCCTGAAGCCGTGTCACGTGCAGTAGGGGTCCGAAGTCGCCTCGCCGACGAGGTAGCTGTCCTGCTCAGAGGTAGCTTACGGTTTCTTGGCTGACCCTAAACCCTACATCCCTAAACCCTAAACCCTAAATCCCTAAACCCTAAACCCTAAATCCCTATATCCCTATATCCCCTAAACCCCAAACCCCAATTCAAGGGCAGGCACTACTTACGATCCCGACCTCGAGCAAAACTCCCAAGCTCATCACTGCAGCCGGACGGCACTCGCTTTCAGACCACGCCCACTCAGAATTCGGACCTCCATCAGGGGTCTCGCAAGCCTACTTAAAGGGTCATGGGACTTAGTAACTAGGGTCATAATTAAGATATTATTTATAACCCCAATAAAGGTACTTATAACCCTTCTTCCTAAGTCCCATGATCCTCCAAGTACCATACCTACCATTCGGGTCCCAATTTTTGAGTAGTTTTAAGGCCATGCTATCTTGTGTTATACTGCTACCTTCAACTATGATAAGGAACCCTAGAGGATGGAGTTCGTACGGGTATCTTGGGACCGGCGACAGAAGGCTGTCTGAAAGAAGTAAGCAGCAGCAAACCCATCCAAACTGCCACCCCCCCCAAACCGCCGTCCCGATCTTAGGTCGTACGTAATCATAATGACCATGATCATCAAAGCGATCTTCCCTGAGCAACCATGGTCATGATGGGGGACTAAGAACAAAAGGAACACATAATGAACTCCCAAACTACTGAAGAACATAATCGAGCACCTTAACATAAACACACGTTCCTGATCAGTCAAAGTATGTCCGTGGTAAGACACTTAAAGGGTCATGGGACTTTGTCACTAGGGTTATAATTGGGGTAACTATACTTATAATTACTTATCGCGGCAGTACCGGGCCTGCAGCTTGCTGGACTCTGCAGCAGCTGTCTTTGGGTAACGGCCCTGGTGCGGTTCCGGCCATCGGGAGCTTCAAAGCTTTTTCAGGAAGATTTCCTAACAGGCTACAGGGTTTTGTACGCGATTTCGGGTCTGCGGGTTTTAACTTAGGGTCAAAGTGTCGGACTCATCACGGAAGCCACGACACGTCAAGAACTATTCCTGTGTGAAGGGCTAGTCTGTAGGAGGGTTCAGGGATCGAAAGAGTCACTCAAGGCCTCTAGGGCGGCCAGACGTGTAGACATAGTAAGAAATTTACAAACCTAGCAATGATTACCTGTACTTCCTTCCCCTGAGAATCAACTGGGCTGCCTGTCAAGGCTTGGGACGTGGGTTACGCAAAGGTGGAAGGGCAACGTCTGCAAACTCTCTACACTAAGTCTTAGGCTTTAGGGTGTTGGGGTTCCAGGTTCGTGGTTCCGAACACCTTGGTGTCGATAGCCTGTTATCACTGAGCTTGTTTTAGAAGGCTTTGGTCTTCGAGTTGAGGGTTAAGGGGTTTTTTAAGTTGAGGGCATAGAGATTGGGGTTCAGGACTGAACTAGAGTTTAGGGTTTAGGGTTTGGGTTCAGGGTTTATAGCTTGGAGTTCAGGGTCTAGTATTAAGGCCTTCCAGTCTAAAAACCCCCTTCCGCCGCACCGTGGAGTCCGATATCCTCAGCTCGAGGACTGGCTTTTGCCTTAGACGAAGGGCCAGTCCGCTGTAGCCGATGGAACACTACGGCATTTTGATTAGGGATTTATGGTTTAGGGTTTAGGAACACTAGGGTTTAGGATGTGGGGTTTTGAGGTCTGGCATTTAAGGTTTATGCTCCAAGGTTGACACTTGACGGTTTGTGATTTACGGTTTGGGGCTTAAGGCTTGAAGTTTAGGACAGGCTCGCTTGCTGATGCTGGGAGATCAAGGGATTCTGACCAAAGCGACAACAGATCACATCAACGCCCCTTGGCCATTTCAACGGACAGAAAAATCTCAATTTGCACTGCCTGCGAAGTAACGGAGAGCAAGGATGCGAGAGTGCTCGAGTTCATCCTTCCTGTAAGTATCCAGATGCCTCCAAACCGCAGTTAACGACTCGAGCAACACGTAAGACTCCAACCATCCTCAGCCCCTGGACCCAGAGATCTTGAGCTGAACATGCAGCCAGGAGTCTCGGAGGTTTCAATCTGCTGCTTCAGCTGCCTTTTCCAGAAAGGGATCATTTGGGACAAATCTCCTACCACAGTCTCCTTGCCGACGATGTCTCCAATAAGAAGCCTGAAGGTCCTGAAATTGAGTAATTAGCCGGTTCCTCAAAACCAGATCCCACAAGACGTGCGACAAAGGTCTGACCTTGAAACGCCTGGGACATCTCGAAAGTGTGGTACGACATGAGGAATGCAAAGGAGCGGTAGAAGAGTAATCGTAGGAGCAAGTGACTGGAAACAACATCATGTTGACGACTCAGACGACGAACAGAAGAATAAGAAGAAGCTATAACAACGATAGTAACGAGCATCGTGCCAAATTGCTAAGATGTTTGTGGCAACGGTCCGCATCTTCCCCACTAGGATCATCATCACGACCGTGATCACTACCGTCATTGTCATTACCATCCCTGCCTCAACCCGTGAATCCTGAATACTAAAAGTAATAATGACAATAACAGCATTACTTATAAGAGCAATAAGAACATTAAGAACAGTAAGAGTAGCAAGAATCATAAGAAGAATAACAAGAAGAATAACTTCATAGTCTCAGAGCCCTGCTTCCCGGCCTCAGGGGCGCGGCATTCGGTGCCCAGCCAGGCTCATCTGCAGCCACGGGCCCGGGGCTTCACAAGGATCAAACGGTTCAGAACTTTAGGTATAGGGGTCTAGGATGTAGAAGTATGGGAGTTAGGATTATAGAGTTTAGGGTTTTGAGTTTAGGGAATCCGAGAGTTCGGGGCACCGCCCCGAACTCCAAACCGCATTACACCGCCCTGCCTGCAACCTGGAGCTCCACTGTTCCGGCGAAGCCACCCGGGTGGAACCTGGGTTGGGGTTTAGGGTTTAGCGTTTAGGGCTTAGGGCTATAGGTTTAGGAATCTGCTGGTCGTGTTATCGTGATATTCCGATGATTCCTTATGCAACCGTCTTTCGACTCTGAATGGTAGCGTGGCCGCCATTCAACATGCCATAAGCCTTCAACCCTCGACCAACACTTACCAGCCTTCTGAACTTTTCGGATGGTGTAAACCAGAAAACCTCAAGAACAACAGTTAACATTTCTTCCACAGCGAAACCAGCAGATAATGTTATGCCCCGAAACTGCAGATGGGTCAGCACAGAGAAACCCTGAGGGTCATTCAATGTTCGTAGCGTCCCCCCAAAAAGCCTAATCCATACACATCCGCCTGAAAGCAACATCAGAAAAGCTATCTTCCCTGAGGCACGAAACAAGTCTTCTTCATATCCTGAAACACCCAGCAGGCCCTAGGTCTTTCTTCACTCTGCATATGCTGCACACAAAAAAGATAATGCTTGTGGATTGCGATTCTCAGGGCAGCCATCTTGCAAGATGTAGAGTTTCAGGGTTTAGGGGTTGGGGTTCGGGGTGAATCCTCAGGCCGCCAACACTGCCATTGGAACTATGATGACTGCTGACGCTGATGCTGCTACTGCCGTTGCTACTACTGTCATGAGGACTACTCCTATGAAGGGTTCCATGATCCTAACCATGCCTGAACCGTAAACCTCAAGTTTATGGCTGAGGGCTTCCCCTGGAAGCCCGGACTCATCAACTACACAGTTCAAGGTCACCCTGGAGCCTTAGACTCTGAACCCTAAGCCTGAAGCCTAAACGCACAGGTCTTTTTGTGAACCCTACTGTAAACCCTCAAACGCCTGAAGTGCAATCCACAATCCCAGGTGACCATGTACGCTTGAGAGGAACATATCTGATGCCACCTTGCAGGTTGCCAACGCGAGATCCTCCGGCTTTTCGACATGTAGAGTTTAGGGCTTAGGGTTCTGGGTTTCAGCGCTTCAGGTGTTTAAGGTGCAGGGCTTGGGGCATACTGTGCTTAAGGTCTAGGGCCTAGGGTTTAGGGTTTTGAGTTTATGCATGCACTCAGGGCTCTTGGTTTCGGGTTTAGTTTTCACGATTCGCGGATGTTTCAGACTGTACGCGCATTCTTCGGAGCAGGGGGACCTCAGCTTTTGCAACTGTTTGCCTGAGTTGAGGTTAAGGTTTCGCCAGTATACAGACCCTGAACCCTTGTAGCAGCTCTCATAGTCACCCATATCGTAACCCTTATAGCAACCCTTTTTGTAACCTATGCAGCAACATATACCCTACAATCCTATTCTAATCATTGAGGCCTTCATATTATGGTACCCTTTTGGATCCCCTTTAGAAGGCACCCAACCGCAACAAGTCTTTCAAGCTCTTCTGGCATTCGAAAGACTACACGCCTTGCTCCCGCGGCTCTCGTTGAAGATGGTGAAATGCAGAAGGTCTCCTGGATTTTAGGGTTTAGGCTATAGGGTTCAGGGTTTTCACGGCTCCGACCCTGTAGCCCCTATTATAGATATGGTCAAAGATGCCTGATATGCCCCCACAACCCTTTCTCATTATCCCGCTTGGTTCAACCCATGACCAGCCAAGGACACCTCCCCAGAGTGCAGCAAGAAGCCTGGCTTGTAAGCTGCTATGCGTCGCTCGTAGTTCCTTGGCCAAGGCTTGGGGTTTCATTGGCTTGAACTATGGTTTTCGTTGGTGCTTCGGGGCCTGAACTCCACCCTGAAAATGTACATGAACGGTGATGCACCGGGAAGCCCAAACTCGACCTGCCTGCCAAAGCCATCCTAACTTGTGATCCGATCTGCTCCGAACCATATAACCACGACGGAACCGATCACCGTGACAGCCATAATGCCAAGCCACAGAAAGCCATGATTGTATGGACATTGAACCAAGCCCCAAGCCCCATACCAAGAACTGATCTCAGCATACACCTCAACAGCCTTGACACAAACCCAAGGCAGGCCATTACTGTGAAACCGCAAGAGCCCCAACACCCGCAGCATCAAAATCCCTGACCCAGCCCAACAACCACCGGAAGGGTTACGAAAACACGGACCCCTAAACACACATATGAACAACCCTGTGACCACCAGACCATAAAACCCATCACCAATGGAAATCAGCCGTTGCTTGGTGATGATGATGATGTTGATGATAACGATGATGACGATGACGACTCTGAGAAGGACGATGCAGAGGATGGTGGTAGAAGTCGTTCTTCTTGTTGCTGCTGCTAGCAATTTCAGTATTGGTACGAGCTTGATCTTTAACCGTAGCATTGGATCACGGATGATGGACGTCCTTGTCTATATCTTCATGATGAGAAAAACGCTGCCAATGCTACTATCGTTAGTCCCAGTGGCCACTCGGGAAACTCGGAGTGTTCCACAGTCTGCGATGTGAACGATGCCATTGGCCGGCCTGGAATCTCACCTAGGCCCGGCGACTTTCTCTTCGCACAGTAGAAACATCGACGGTCTTTAGGGTTTAGGGTTTAGGGCCCTAAACTCTAAACCCCAAACCCTAAACCCGACGACGACAACGACGAGCATGGTCCTCTGGCAGGTCTGGTTCGCGGGCGATCCGGACAAGGCGCACTTGCAGTACAAGTTGCACGCCGTCCTCGCGATGTACTGCACAGTGCTGAAGGGTGATGGTTTCCAGGTATTTTAGGAGCCTTGATAATTAGAACAGGGTTTGGGGGGCCTATTATACTGTAATTATACTAGGGAGCCCCCAAAATAGAATTGGTAGTTATGTAAGCCCCTATATTACAAAGTCCATAAACTTCACGAAAAGACTTCCTGTCTTTTCAGCTTCAATGCTTCTAGTGTCGTCGGGGCAAAACGGGCCCGAAGATTAGACTTAAGCTACCAAGCGAGTCTCTACTCAGCTTTCAGGTGCTGGTTGGTCTGGTACCCGCTCGTACTTGGAGGATCATGGGACTTAGTAAGTAAGGGTATAAGTACCTTATTTGGGGTTATAAGTGATTGTAAGTCTAGTTACCTTAATTATAACCCTAGTTTCCAAGTCCCATGACCCTTTAAGTAGGCCCTGGAAAACTAAAGATTTATGGATGCTGCATGTCCGCCAAAAGTGCTGTAGCACACCCGAGTATTACAAACGGACCAGATCTTTGAACCCTTCACTACAATAGTAATAAACATCATAATAGTAATAATAGTAATAATATCAAGAAGAAGAAGACTAATAATACGAATAATGATATCTGTGAGCTCGAGGTCCTTCCCAGCACGCCGGAGTAAGCTTCCAACAGATGCTTCCCGCCGACAATCTTCACCTGATGCAGTAGGACGGCCGGGCGATGCCTCTACGAGGGAATTCACCTGTTCGGAAGAGCTCGAAACTGGAGCACAAGGTACATAGCTCCTGATTGCAGATTACACTCAAAGGAGCAAGAGCAGCACAACCGCAGCAGAACTTGCATCATAACCATCATCAACGACGTCATCCTCGCAGTAGTACTAGTACTAGTACTAGAACTAGTACTAGCAGTAGGAGTAGTAGTAGTAGTAGTAGTAGTAGTAGTAGTAGTAGTACTAGTAGTAGTAGTAGTAGTAGTAGTAGTAGTAGTAGTAGTAGTAGTAGTAGCAGCAATAGCAGTAGCAGTGGCAGTAGCAGCGGCAGTAGCAGTAGCAGTAGCAGTAGCAATGGTATAATAGTGTCAGTTGCTGTTGTTGTTGAATGAGTTTAAGGTCCACAGACTTCGTCAAGAAATGAAGCAATGACTCTGCCACCTTGACGTTGGATGCGTCGTCGGCCTTGCACAGTGGGATGTTCAGACTTGGCGTCGAGGGCTTCCTAATACCCGTCAGCTGCAGATGACCCATCGACTTTCAAGTCGTGAACATGTCGTTCCGGCGTGGGAACTTCAATGCCACGACTAAAGCTCGGGACTCCGGCATGGAATGAATCGTAGCGCAGTGACTTGGTGACTAGGCGTGAAGCTGCCAAAGCAGCAGGAAGACTCGAAGACTCTAACACTGCCATGGACTTATCATGATTCTTCCAACTCATCTCTATATATATATATATATATATATATCTGTGTGTGTGTGTGAGTGTGTGTATGTGTGTATATATGTACATGTATATATTTTTTATCTATTTACTTATTTATTTATATCCAATCAAAACCCCAACCGAGGCTCCAGATCGTCCGCGGAGGCTGGAAACTCCCCTGCCAGGTTCGAAACCTTCACCTGGCAGTGTTAAATAGTAATCATAATAACAATAATATAAACAATTAAAGTCATAATAATAATAAACACAATAATAGTAGTGATGCTGGTCAAGAACAATCAGTGAGGTGGACCTCCAAGCGCATTCCTGCTATTCATGCATCTGCAGCCTCTGAAGAATCCACCAATCGAGATATTCCGCAACCCGAACTGCACCGTACGGATTCCCGGAATCTGCCACAACCGGAAGATTGCAGTTCATCCCTCTTCTCTCTAGTCTTCCCTTGCTGAGAATGCACATGAGGTGGAAGCACGAGGTGGCAAGGGAGGGTGCTCTATCATGCGAACAATAAGTAACACTAATCACAAGAATGGTAACAACGATAATGAAACCACTAATAATACTGATGATGGTCATAACTGTATTACTAACGATAGCAATAATACTATTAGTAGCAGGTGCAGTAGCAGTAGCAGCAGCAGTAGCAGCAGCAGCAACAGCAGTAGCAGTAGCCGTAGCAGTAGCAGTGGCAGTGGCAGCAGCAGTAGCAGTAGCAGTAGCAGCAGCAGCAGCAGCAGCAGCAGCAGCAGCAGCAGTAGCAGTAGCAGTAGCAGTAGCAGTAGCGGTAGCGGTAGCAGTAGCAGTAGCAGTAGAAGTAGCACTAGCAGTAGCAGTAGCAGTAGAAGTAGCACTAGCAGTAGCAGTAGCAGTAGCAGTAGAAGTAGCAGTAGCAGTAGCGGTAGCGGTAGCACTAGCAGTAGAAGTAGCACTAGCAGTAGCAGTAGCAGTAGAAGTAGCACTAGCAGTAGCAGTAGAAGTAGCACTAGCAGTAGCAGTAGAAGTAGCAGTAGCAGTAGCAGTAGAAGTAGCGGTAGCAGTAGCAGTAGCAGTAGCGGTAGCACTAGCAGTAGCAGTAGCACTAGCAGTAGCAGTAGCAGTAGCAGTAGCAGTAGCAGTAGCAGTAGCAGTAGCAGTAGTAGCAGCAGTAGCAGCAGCAACGACGACAACAATATAACAAACAAGAACCATGGGAGCACTGGAAGCCGGCTGATCCTTGCCGGGCCACCTGAATGTAGGATTCGAGGCCCTCCGGGTTCTCGAGCCTTGGCGTATCGCAATCCAGGACGAGTATGCACCGAAGCATATTGATCCCTTCATAGCGAAGAGGACGCCGACGATGCGCCGACGGTAACCCCTTTGCCCTTACGACAAGGCCGTCTCTGAGTTGGGTCCAAATACAAGCCTCCGTGTGCCCATATGGCTAATGCAGAAATGAGGTCTTTCAGATGAACTTTCCCTGCACGGACTACGCAGCGAGGGGCCATTGTAGGGAATGGGCTTGCCCTGCGGGTTCACATTGAGCCAATGCTTAAGATAGCGGTGGGGAGGCCCTCCCCACCAGAAGCCTTGGTGCCGCCTGCGGGGTCCAAAACCAAAACCAGCAAGAAAGAAATCCCACCGTGGACTGCTCCTCAAGCCTGTAAACCACGCTTCAAGGCTTAGGGTGTAGAGTTGAAAGGTTCAGCATTACTAACCCGGCAAAATCCAGCAGCCCTTTAGACTCTCGAACAGGTCCAGATCTGAGCCCAGCAGCTTGAGCTCCCCGACGAAGCCATTGGGGTGGAACTTTGATGCTTCCCTGATCTGGTCTAGGGTCTAGGCTTAGGGCTAAGGGCTCAAGGTGTCGGGCCTGGGATTTCGCGTTTTCTGGCTTCCATGGTTCCACGGTGCTTCATCCCACCTCTCTTGCGGCTCTTCGACCTTCTTTTCGTTGTTTTGGTCGTTACATCGCATGTTCCTAAACCCTGATCCCTAAACCCTACACCCTGAACCCTGAACCCTAAACCCTGAACCCTGAACCCTAAAACCCTAAACCCTAAACCCTAGGGGTGCGCCAGGCTTTCCTGTAGCTTTCGCTTAACGCCTCGGATGCAGCGGTATGTGTTGGGTACGGCCCCCATACAGTAACAGTTCATAATAGGGCCACTACTGAGGTCCTAATATACCTATATGAATATTATCCAACTGTTACTGAGTGGGGGCAGTACCCAAGGTATGTGGTTTGAGGCTTTGGGAAAAAAGATGGCTCCGGAGGCCTCGAAGTCTGGGAGGGAAGCTACGGAGCTCAGCTCAATGGATATTGCGTTTATTTTGACATCATATTTCAAATCTTCTTTTGTTCTATATTATAACACATTATGCTATATCACATACTTCTTGCTTTATATAAAAGACTCTGTGGCCTAGGTGTCCGCGCATGAAGAGAGCTGCGACAGTTCGCAGCGACTTCTGGAGCCAAGGCTCAGGGTCGCGCTGCCCAAGAAATCGTTCTTGTAGTTCCAGTCTTGGTCATAGACCGTCAACCTGAAAGAGCGCAGACACGTCCGACAGCGCATCTTTGAAGCGTTTACTCATGCAGACATGTGACGTATGACCCCTGACAACCGAGACTGCCACTCGCTCTACGCCGCTACACCCTTGCGCTCAGAATCTCGGAGCAAGTGAGCCCATGCAGCACAATCCCTCGATGCGCTCGCCTGCAGCTCTCAGCCGACGGCTGCCCTTATTAAACCGTTTCAGTGCTAAGGCTTTTGTCGCGAGGACTGTGATCGCTGCAACCTGACAACATCTGGGCGACTTGGGTGCCTGAGCCCTGAGCCCTTGACTGGAACCAGGCAACCAAGAACACTGAGGTCTGAAGCAGAAATGCTTGGCCCGATTCCTGCGGCTTCAACGTCTTCCTCCTCAACCCTGTGCAATAGCTCCCGAGCACTGCGAAATCCTTGCACCTGTTGGTGCAGGAGTCTCGTCTTTATTGTCGAAACATAATGCATAGTCGAACGTAGCCAATGTCAATTTCCCAGTTCGAAACTTGCAAAGCCGTCTCGTTGATTGGGCTGTAACTGTGTTATGTTATGGCTATCTTGGCCGCACCCACCGTTACATACTGTCGCCATGATCCGTTTCAGTATACGTATGTTAGTGGTAACGAGAATGATCACTCGTGGTGCTCACGTTTTCTGACTGCTACCAAGATGATACTCTTAATGCTTCGCTACCTTTGCTAGGCGTCATCGTGACATGACTGGATATGTGTGTGTCATTTACATTCATACCTGCTCTGACTGCTGCTCCTCTCCTTGCTTCAAGGGCGCTTCAGCGCACTCCCGACCTTGTAGTTCGGGAACTTGCCTGGAGCTCTTCGGGTGATGTTGAACTCAAGGCTTTAAGGTTTAGGGCTTTGCATCAGGGATGCAGGGTGCCGGATCTAGAAACTGCGGTGCAGGAGTGGGGTTTAGAGTGCAAGCCGTACCGGATCGCTGTGTTTCGGAGATGAGGGTTGGGGCTTTGGAGCTTTGGCTGTAGGCCTTCGCGCTCTGACTATCTGCCCTGAAGAGCCTCGGATTGAAACAGAAATCATGAAAGGATGCAGGATCCAGGCTTTGTTGCCTTTGCTTGTAATCGCTGTTCGAGGCTTGAGTGTCTTGCCTGCTGGAAAACTGCATGGAGCTGTCTCGGAGGGAATGCTTCGGCAAGACCGGGAGCTCGCAGTGGAGGCACTGCCCTACGCGATCCACAAGCTGCCAACCTTAAGAATCTATCGATCTTGCAAGTGCTTGGGACAGTCGATCCCGGCCCCGCTGCAAGAACCATGAGTTTCAACAAGATTTCAACCACGACATCGCGGAAGAGTGCCTTCGAAATCCCAGCACGGATCCAAGCATTTGTCGATCACATGCGTCTTGAAGGAGGCGCCGGGCTGCCTCGGATCCGGCATGCTTGGACTTGTGTAGCCATTCGGGCTGGCTGCCGAACTGATATAAGGGGGAGTCCCGAATAAGAGTTCCATTCATGGGCGGATTCATGGGGCCTAATGAAAAGCATAGGTGAGGTTGCTGCCCTGGGTGGATCATGGCCGAGGCACCCGACGACCTCGCAGGTGCAGAACGGATCGGAGGTGCCCCTGGGTGTGCAAAGTGGATACGATTCCAGCGACAGTCAGAATGTCGCAGACTCAGACCGCTCCGTTTGGCCTCCTTGCAGACAACTGGCAGCCAAACTCAACAAGAGAGCATAAAGCCACCTACAAGGCCCATGCTCTGGATCATGCACGTCTCAATCCTGCTGTTCACGCCCACATCTGCTTGAGGACTTGTTCAGTCACGGTGCTGATTCTGCTCGAAATGGAACCTGCGAAGTAAAGATGCTCCGACCCTAAACCCTAACCGCAAAGCCCAGGCGCCAGTTCATGAGGTTAAAATCCGCGGCACGGAGCCCACGAGCCGACACGATCCGCACCTGGCGCCACCAGCGAGGCTCTGCGATAAGGAGCGACGATCATGTTGCTCATGATGAGATTGTCGATATATGCGTCTTGTTACAAAGAAAGATGCAAACCTTCTAGGGAAAGAAGTAGCTTTAACCGCGTGGTGGTGGAGGTGGTGGTGGTGGTGGTGGTGGTGGTCGCGGTGGCGGCGGTGGTGGTGGCAGGAGGAGGAGGAGGAGGAGGAGAGGAGGAGGAGGAGGAGGAGGAGGAGCGCCGCCGCCCAGCCGAAAGCAGCATAGACAGCGACATGAATACGATGAATGCGACAACAGATTAAGCCGTGCAGACTGCTACTTGGAGCTGCCAGGAAAGTGCATTGTTGAACGGCTACCCCGAGCCAGGGCATTTCTGACTGAAGGCCGTAATCACACGGCCATTGAAATCCTAAGCCAAAAGCGCACACTGAAACAGAAGCGGGGCCCACCCGCAACCCGGACTCAGCTGCTTGAAGTCGTCGACCCAGTCGACCACCCTCGCCTTGGGGCCAGTGTGGGTCCGTACTCAAACCGAACGACTAGCAAAGCACATAGCCCGGAGGAAAGGCCTGATTTCGGAGCCCCCCACAATACGTGCTCAATTCGACCACACATATGATGTCAAATTTACCACTACTATGATTATCAATATTATCCTTGATGACTTCGGCTTGTAACATTATCATTAGTAGTATTGCTATTCTGATTCATTCTTGCTATTATTGTTCTCATTTATACAAATGCTTGTACTACTGTTAATAATAGTAGTACTAGTGGTGGTAGTAGTAGTAGTAGTCGTCGTCGTCCTCGTCGTCCCTGTCGCAGTAGTAGTAAAATTGTCACAGTAGCCGTAGTAGTCGTCGTAGTAGTAGTAGTAGCGGTAGTTGTAGAAGAAGTAGTAGTAGTAGAAGTAGCAGTGGTAGCGGTAATGGTAGTGGCAGCGGTAGTGATCGCGCGGTAGCGATCGCTGTAGTGATAGCGGTAGCAGTGGTGCTGGGAGTAGTAGTAGTAGTAGTAGTAGTAGTAGTAGTAGTAGTAGTAGTAGTAGTAGTAGTAGAAGTAGTAGTAGTAGTAGTAGTAGCAGCAGCAGCAGCAGCAGTAGTAGCAGTTGCATGAAACATGTTTTGTGTTATACCGTTTGCTTTGCTCGTCGCACTGGATGCTGCGCAGACCTTACACTGTATGAAACAGTTTTTAGGAGAGTCTTTGATGGGATGCTCTAAATCCTATCCGAGCAACCCTATACCCTACACCCGAAACCCTTAACCCTACACCCTAAAACCTTGGCCCCTAACCTTACACCCTAAACCCGAAGGGATCTCTGACTGCCCTTGACGGCCAGGGAGCTGTGGCAGGCACGAGCTTTCCGCTCCAAAGCCTGCCACAGGGCTCAGATCCTACCGAAATGCAAAAACCTTAATTACACATAATAGTTCCTTTATAGTAATGTTACAGATAATAAAGCCAACAATAATGATACATACACTTGTCGAGCCGGAAGCAAGCAATGCAGAGCCACCTCCGCTTGAGCACGCAGCTGGGAGGCTTGGAATGCCTCATGCACGAAGGAGATTGAAGAGTTTCGCCCGGCACATTCAAGAAGCGTGGGCAAAACGGCATAGTCATCCACTACTGCAACCCGTGTTCGAGTGCCGTATGTGTGAGTACACGGATCACATGGCAGAACGCGAGACACCAAAAGTTCGGCTGCTCCTCCTTTTGGGTCGATCTTCCCCTGACGCCCGATACATGATCCAGGACCCATCCTGACGAACCATCTGCTGACACCCGACATCGGCACCTCTGAGTCAAAAACATGCACACTGAAGGTTCCGAACTAGCTGCAAGCCTCAAGGTCTGAAGTACAAAGACTCTCGAACCATTGAGAGCTTTCAACCGTGAAGGTCTCAGTCATTGTTTGAAATTCCTGTCTCTGCAGCGAAGTGGCGAAGCGTTCCGCCTCCCGCTTCTGCCTTCCACTTACCGTCTTCGTCAGCGAGGCTTGAGTGGCCAACTGAGCAGTGTCACATGTGGTCAGAATGAATACCTTTTGCTGGCAGTAGCAAAATCAGGAAGCAGTCGGCGCAGAAGCTGTGACAAGAAGCCCATGCATACCCCATATTGAACGTTCTGATGGCAATAATGCAAATAAATTCAAGCGCTAGGTCCTAGGTCCAGCGCTAGTATCAACAAGCTGGCAAGCTCCTGTCATGACGCCCTGGAGGTTGTGATTTCTGTGCGAACCCATACAGGGCAACCCAGTACCTACATGGCACCACTTCTGCATTGCACAAGACAACAGACGTATAATATGTGTACAGGGTACATGCACGCAGAGAGTGAATACAAGTACGGAAGGACGACAAAACAAACTAAACGAACCACCGAAAGACACAGCACAAAAAGGCCGCTGCACAAAACACTTCAGAAAGTTCACGGCAAAACATGCCGACATGCTTGAGCCAACCAAAACAGCTGAAAGGCATCCTTGTCACGATCCATAACCAGCAGGCGTAGATCCAGAAAAGCTGAGAAAAAGTTAGGTCCATCTAGTCTTGCCGGGATTCCTTCTTGGGCGCCATGTTGTTGATGTGCCACAATTGCAACTGTCCTCGGTTTGCATTGCCAGGCTTGGGGGCCTTCGGGTAGCGCTGAGGTGGGTGCTGGTCACTGCTGTGTCTCGGGCTGTTTGGGAGCTATCGAAGGCACAGGGATGAGAGCATTTCATCAAAGGTCACAGCTACCTCAGAGGCGCCCCCGAACATTGATCCCAAAACCCAGATGTTACCTTCCCCTCCATGGGTTTGTAGGTGCTGTCTTATGCTGCCTCGACTGCCTGTTTATTCGAGGCTTCGCGGCATGGAGCCTGCAAAAGAAGCCTTCAGACCTTTCCTGACCACTCAACACTGCGACGCTCATCGGAACCCTCACTTGGGAGTTTCCGACAATTAGGGGGCACCTTATTTTGGGGTCCTTACAAGTAAGGATCCTACTAACTATTTGGGGTACTATATTGGGGTCCACTATATTCGGAAACTCCCACTCGACAAAGGGCCCCAAGCCCTGGTGAAGCCTCGCAGTTCGCAGCTGAGCCGCCGGAGAAGCGCGGGCAGGCGGCGCCAGTCCAGTTTGTCAGCTCCTGACACTTTAGGATTCGGGGGCTTTAGGATTCGGGGGCTTTAGGGTTCAGGGGCTTTAGGGTTCAGGGGTTTAGGGTGTTGATGCAATGTAGGTGGCTTTAAGAATTGGACTGGGGTTCCTCTCGAGGGCTCCTCTGAGGGTTACGATAAGAGTATGTACACTAAGAAGATTGATGGAATAGCTTCGTAGATTGCGATAACAGCATCCAGACGTTTAACCTTTAGGGGTACTGATGGCTCATGCTTCAGACGGTACTGAGACTTCGACAATCAGATTGGACGTCTCCGTGTCCTCGTCCTTGAACTCCATGATCAAGTTGTGCTGCAGGAGCACGGAGTTCAACTGAGCCACTACTCAACCCAGAGCGCATTCTCCCACCGACACGCAGGCAGGAGAGCGGTGAATGTCTCAGGGGCGCGAGCAGAATCTGAAAGCATATGGGTAGTTCTCTAAATTAGGGTCTCTTCTAGGTCCCCAAAATAGTACGCAACGTATAAATAGGACCATAAAGGGAACAATAATCTAGAGAAGTACCCATGTCTGATCAACTCCGAGCGGCTTCCATCGTGACTTCGCCTGCGCCGGCAAGGCAACTGCGTGAATCCATGCCTGGGCCTTCAGTGCTACACTTCTGAGCCTGTAATGCAGGGGGCTTAATAATTTGAATAGGGTTTTGGGGTTCCTTTGTAAAATTATAGTATAAAGATCCTCCAAACCCTAGTCTAACCATTAAGGCCCCCCTATTTTACTCCAGCTCTCCTTAGAAGGCTTGGAAGCAGTTTTCTTGGCAAGGCCCCTGCTGGCTGATTTCCTCCACGCTTCAAGGACAACTACCTGCTCCACCCCTACGGTCACGACAGCCCCGACGGCTTGGAGCGAGTTTTCGTCTCCCCCGAAAGTCCCTGAGAAGCAAAAGGTGGGTCCTTTGTGGGATGGAAAGGATCCCAATACCGACCAAGGCATCCTGGAAAAAGGTCATGTCCCGCTGCATCCCCCATTGCGGCACTTTGCGCAATGGCACTCGCGGACCGGTTCCGGCCACCTGCTCCCACCGCACCAGAATCGCATTAGTCTTGCATGATGCCACGTCCGTCCCGCGGTTGTGCGTCCCGCGTGTACGAGGCCCTTGGCCCTGCGATTCTCTGGAGCTCCTGCAGAGCGTTGTCCCAGGAAGCGGCTCTGTCCCGAAGTTAAATATCCACCCGGCATGCCCCAGCACAGAAACAAGGAATCGAAGCCCGCCTATTCGCAACTCCTCCTCCGGCTTGAGATCTGTAGACGAGTAGAAGGCAATATGAACCTGTGTTATTTGGCTCTGGGCTTTAAGGCTCTTGGGGTGAGAGTTCACGCGTCTTGGTTGAGCAGTGTGTTGGCTCCTCAGGCAGAACCCTGACTGCACAAGCTTCCACCGAAAGCCTAGAAGCTCGATTCATGTAGTTTCTAGGCCCTAGATTATCTGGTCCTTCTCTTCCTGTCTTAGTTCGTATCCTCAAACCCTACGCCCAAAACTCTAAGCGCCTCAAGAGACCCGGACTATGCATCAACCATTACTTATATTACTTATACAACATTGATGGTTGGATCACTCTTATTTGCCTATCTGCTTGTTCTTCGAGCTTGAAAAATACTAAGTTAAGACATAATAAGACTAAGACATACCTCAAAAAAAGAGCTATAGTAAGAAGAGGAAGCAATAATAATGAAATCACGACCCGAAGGCCTTCGTCGGCTTCGCATTGCGGATGAAGAACCGGAAGCTCTGCTCGAAGGTTGCCTGGGGTGCTTTGAGAACTCCGGGCTTCAGGGCTGGTTTTAGGCTTTAGGACGGTTTAGGTGCTTAGGGGTTTAGGGTTTAGGGTTTAGGACGGTTTAGGTGCTTAGGGGTTTAGGGGTTAGGGTTTAGGACGGTTTAGGTGCTTAGGGGTTTAGGGTTTAGGGTTTAGGATGGTTTAGGTGCTTAGGGGTTTAGGGTTTAGGACGGTTTAGGTGCTTAGGGCTTTAGGGCTTGGGTTCTTGAGCTTCTAGCGTCCAGTGTTACTGTTGATGGACAAAAACCTGCATGACCCTAAGAACTCGAAGATATGGGAACTATGGTATATTCCTTATAATGGGTAGTGCAGGATTTTGTCCATCAACAGTAATTAAGCTTAACGGCTTTTTGGAAGGCTTTCTCGGCCGTTCGCTTGCATCGACACGCCCATCCGCCCCTTCTACCGGCAGGAGTTCTCGCTGGTCCAATGTCCGACAGATTCACATGCCGACATTTTGGTGTAAAGTGGTGAAGGCGTCAAGCTACCGCACTGAGATGGGCTGGAGAAAAGACGCAGAATTCTCTACACTGAAACCTGAACCCAAACCCACCCTCCAAAACCGTGAACCCTACAGACACTTCATGAACCTTCCAGCACTGTCATCAAACTCAATCTCACAGTGAGGCAAAGCTGCATACTTGGTTGCCTGACCAAGCATTCCGTCGCTCATCCTCCGACTCTGGTCAACGCCAGGCATGCCAGCTACGTTTTGTCTGGGTATCATGCTTTAGAACTGATGCACGGAGTACTTCCACGAGTCTTCAGCATCTTGTAAGCTACATTTCACAGATGGCAGATCGTCCCGACCTCTTGCTAAAACCAATCCGAAGCTGAAACAAAGACAAGAACAAGATCAGAAGCACCTACATGGCTTGCTTCAGAAACCACGCGACCCTAGTAACCCCAATAGAAGTGCTCAACCATAGCATCCTTACCATCAGCCATATCAGGACCCCTGAACAGGAACCCCCTTGAGTTTAAACCCTATATCATCACTTTCCCCTGAACCATAAACCCAAAGCCTTTCATCCTAAGCCGTAAATCCGAAACCCTACCCTGATTCCCAGACCCCGGTGTCACTTTCACACACATCTGTCGGAAGCTCCTGCTCACCGTCTCGGACTTCTGCCTCACAAGACGAAGGAGGTGGTTGCAATCTTCGCTGGGGGGTTTAGGGATTCGGGTCTTGTCTAGGGCTTCTAGGGGCCGTAGGATTTGGGGCTGTAATTTGTAGGAATTGGGGCTAAGCACCCGCAAAGCAGGTAACAGATTTGCAGGACAGTCTGAGCTTGCTAAAGACTGCAAGCCAAACCCACAGGAGAGGTTCACGTAAATTCAAGAGCTGGAAGCCAGCAACAAGCGAAGGCGGAGGAAGGCATACGACCGACTCCTTGGAACCGTCAGCGTGGCTTAGACTTAAAGGTTTCGGGAGTAGCGTTTAGTGTCAAGTAGGATTTAGGATGCAGGGTTTGGCGTTCAGGGTGCAGAGCTGAGGGTTTAGGGTTTATTAACGCATGTTGGCACAAGTTTGCCGAGGCACGCGACAGGGTGCGCTGCCGCAACCACCCGGTCGGAGGTCCGCTGGGACACCCCCTCCTGCAAAGCTAGAGAAAAGACACCTGGAGAAGTCGCATGGGGTTTCGGGTTGTTCAGGGTATGGAGAAATTGAGTTTAGAACAAGGATCTGACATGGTTTGAAAAGCAGTTTGTAGCGGGCTACGACGGTTCTACAACAACAGAGTGGCCATAATGATTAGGACAGGATTTTGGGGTATATTGTAAAACACAGCAAGATGGGGACTGGGCAGGCGGCTTTAGGCGCGTGGGGCATAAGTGTGCGCTACACCCATCCCGCCCCATCCAAAGCTCATAGTTGGTATATGAAGATGGCATTACATGCCTTTGATCGGAGCTGCGAGTAGCTCAACTATCATTTCTCCTCTTCTTATTGCAAACAAACTGTTACTGTTCCAAGAAGTAGCTCAATACTATGTAGCTCTCGTAAATCTGCCGTAGACAGAGGATGAGGACGGGGAGGGGAGTGAGAAGACAGGCAGGAGTGATGGCGATGAACAGTCACTGAGGAGTCACTCCTGTCGTAGCTGCGCAGAGCCACATGCCCAACCCTAAACCCTCAACCCCAGACCCTAGGCCCACACGCTAAACCCAAGACCCCGCACCCGAAAAAGGAGCCTTAACAATTTGAATACGGTTTAGGGGTATCTTAGACTATCATCATACTAAGAAACCCCTAAAAAGTAGGTAATGATTAAGGCCCCTTTTGGTACACCCCTAAAGCCAAACCTCGGTCCTGGGGCTCTTTGCAGGTGGCGCCCGTCGGCTCCAATCCCGGTAAAATGGTGCAGCGTGCGAAGAACCTGAAGCTCCAAAGCTTGGGGACTCTTGAGCTTGAGACCCTAGGGTTTAGAGTTTAGGGGTTTAGGGTTTAGGGGTGTGTAGATGATGGGATTTCGGGGTCTAAGCCCCTTACGGTTTTGAGAGTTTGCGCTTAATTTTTATAATTCTTTACGATTGAAACTCCACAAGCTCGGGCTTTTGCTGGGCGCTTGCTTGTGCGCCGGCCTTGCAGGCTTAGGGTTGAGGGATCTTTTGCGGTGCGACCAGTTCTGGTGGCTGAAGACTTACTATAGGGGCCTGAATATTTACCTATACTATTTTGGGGGGTTCCTTATCATGAAGGGCCCCAAAACCCTGTTCTAATTATTAAGGGTTAGGAGGCTGGCATAGACGTTCAGCGTTCCCGCCTCGGAATCAGAGTTCTCGTCTATTGTTCAGGTTCCGGGTTCAGGGGTAGTGGTCGCCCACTCGAAACAACTAACCGAGGTCCTGGAACCTCAAACCCGAAGATCCCAAACACCCCGAACCCCGAAGCCCTTGTTAAGCCTTTGTTGCATCCGAACGAACCCGGCAGGTCCGAGGCGCTGGTCGGTCCTTCGGCCCGTGAAGTGGCCTGGGATGTCGGCTTCTTTAAAGATTCTTTCTAGAAGAAGGTTTAAGGTTCAGGGCCCGACGGTTTGGGGCGTTTTCCCCCACAATATCTAAAAAACTATGCTAAGATGGCACCACCTCACACGAGAATGTGTGGGTGGCGGCACATCCTTCGACATGCGACTTTTCCTGTGCTTTGTGACAGATCGGTGAGTCCGGAAGTTCTTCTTATCCACGGGCAACCACCCAAACCATTTCCTGTTAGGGCTTACTGCTGAGCTTGCGGCCTCAGACCATTTGACGGGACCCGGGGACTTCTGCCAGGCCTCTCTTTCCTTTGGACTCTGGGTGGCCAGCGAAGAAAGGATCAGAACAAAGGATCGGAGTGTATTCGACCACCCTCACGGAAGCGCAGAGTTTCGGATCCATGGTTCAGGGAGGCGCCTGAATAGTCTCAAACTATGGCCTGTTGGACGGATGGATACTGCGAAAAAAATTAAGCGGTCCTGGCTCTTGATAGTTACGTTTTAGTGCTGATGGGAGTTGCGGCTTAGGGCTTAGGGATTGTTGCACTTTTGGCGCTTTGCTCGTTTGACCGGGGGGCTTGCGTGGTTTTCCGTCTTACGGGGTTCGGGGTGTGAGAGCCTGGGGTGCTCCAGAGAGTACCTCTGTACTGAAAAAACTCATATCGCTACTCGTAAGCGGATATGGGTGTGTTCAGCTTTATTTCGGACAGTCAAAGGTTCTGCGAAGTTGCAAAAACGTGGCTTTGGAAAAGATTCGTGACTAGTGGAAAGCACCCAAGACGTCGCTGTAGAAAGCTCTGATTTGGCAACCTGAACCCTGAAGAAGATATTTTCCCACTCCACACGCTGCATACACCCTTACTAACACACCCAATTCTCCAGAGCGGGCTCAGCGTCGCATCTCCAAATGCTGCACGCCCACACGCAGGACGAACAGGGGCCAGCGGACCTTCCAGCTTCGGGGCGGAGGTGAATCAGACGGGGGAGGGACGGCCGTCAGTCACAGCACAAACTGTGAACCTCTTCCTCTTCTTCTTCGCTTCCCTCCTCGTCGTCCAGGAAAACATCCTTGCGCCGCCAAGTAGGAAGGAGGCTTGCCGACACGGGCAGGCACAGAGATGCACGAGACACATGAAGGAATGGCTCAGGTGCATCTGACAGTCTGCAGCAACTTATTAAAAGGAAATCCTTGCAAATCCAGGTTCAGGAAGCCAGCTTTTGCTTGCCTCTCCTATTGATGCGCTGGCATCAAGAAAGGCCCCCACTGAAGTGCCTCCTACCCTCCGGACAAGTGGCTGGAGGCAACTGAGCTGAGACGGATTGCGAGATGGGTCTCCACTGCAGGCCTCGCTTCAGGATTCAATCCAGGGAGATCGGATGGATATAACTACTATCAGAGGTAATGATTGCCATAATACGACGTTTGCAGCATATCCCTACCGGGGCATACAGTATGTCCGTGTACATGAACAAGTAGTACATACTTACTTACTTGCTTACATACAGACATACATATGTATATACGTTCTGAGGATAAGCATATATATATATATATACATGCACATAACCTCACCATGCTCAAGTCTTGCATGAAGAGCTTCTTGTGGCAAAGGCGCACGGCGACCCCGAGGACCCACACAGTCATGTTGCGCTGCGTGCAGCCCGAGGACACCACGGCCGACAACAACGACGACAACGAGAAGACTAATAACAGAAAGCAGAACCGGCGACCCCGAAGTTTCAAGCGGAAAACATGCAAAGGTGGAACAAGCATTGATGACAAAGTTGATGCTGGCACCACTGGTAGCGACTGTTGAGGTCCGTGATGCTGCTACTTCGAACATTCTATCAACATAGAAAGAAGGGCCCAAAACAAAGACTGAGCAACTGAAGATGTTCAGAATTCAGAACAGGCGCCGAGCTCGAGCTTCGCAGTGCCCCCGTTTTCCGGGTCCGGGTGCTCTTTGCCTTCATGGCTTCGGATTCCCAACGCCGGTCTTGGGTGTGAGTGCTTTGTTCCGGATAGTGGTGTCTTCTGGCGTTTTCGATACTAAAAATCCCCGAAGAAGCCCTAAGAGCCCTGAACCGAGGAAGGTTTTGTGTTCCTTGGCCTGTCGGGCCTCCCCGCAGCAGAAGTACTGGAAGTATGAGTAGAACGTAGAAACACAAGAATTGCCTTGCTAGTGGTGGCAGTGGCCGTAGTACCAGTGGTGGCAGCAGCAGCAGCAGCAGCAGTGGGCACGTAGATGCACGGCCTGGCCACCCCTGCTCCAGCTCGCAGGTGCGCTCAACCTCCCGCTCACGCTCCTGGACACCCGAAATACACGGTTTAGGGCTCATGGCTGGGCGAGTGGGATCCGTGGCTTAGGCTGATAGCTTAGGTGTCAGAGGCTTGTTGCATAACTTTCCCGAATGAAGGAGCCACGTAAACAGCTGCTGACCAAGCAGCAAAGTAGTCTAATGACTGGACACCGAAGAGGTCCAGAACGCCTCGTGTTCACACTCTTCGATCTCCATCTGCGAATCTCATGTAATGCGACATGTTCGTACATCTGACTGCTTTTCTACAAGTTCTCCTGCCTGTGTTTTAGCAGCCGTGTGTGCATGCAGGTACTTCTCCGTCTATCTATGCATCTATCTATTTGTCGACCAATCTTCTGTCTGCCTTTTTATCTATCTATCTGTTTACCCATCCACCTGCCACCTGCCTACCTTGGTGTTTATCGACCCCAGGTTGTTGCATCTACACACCTACAAGACCGTGGTACCTACGTGCGCTCCTGGGCCAAAGACTCCAAATGCACATTCACTCCTTGTCCCAAGAGCTTCGCATTTGATGGGAGGCCAAAATCCCTACTAAACCCCCATAGGCTAAACCCCCTTCTGGCCTCCTATGAGCATTGCCAGGGTTCCGAAGTTTCGGACGTGTTGGCCCTGGGTCCGAGTCCAAAATTTCTACCCGAAAGTCCGGCAATCAAAACATCTGTACTTAAAGAGTCATGGGACTTAGTAACTAGGCTTATAATTAGGGTAACTATACTTATAACTACTTAGAACCCCAATGAAGGTACTTATAACCCTACTTACTAAGTCCCATGACCCTCCAAGTAGAGTGGGGCTACAACTCACGCTCGCACTGGAGACAAGAGGCGAACCCCCAGCTTTCTCGCCATCTCATCCCCTTCACTGGCCACGCCTTGGCAAGGGAGGCGAAAGCAAATGCTCAAGAGTACATTCAACCTTCGCTAAGTTTCCTGATTCACTTTCTCCATCCCTACTGCGCGTACAGACATGTGTTTCCCCATATCTCAAGGATGGCTGCACGCGGAATATCTTGAATGGCTCCCCATACCCTGTTTGAGGCAAGGATCCCAAATGCTGCTCTCGCAGCTGCTGCATAAATCCGTCGTCCCAGATGCGGAAGTTCAAATGCTGTATTCGCCTGGGATTTAGGGTTTAGGCTTTACGGTGCGGTTTGGACTCGGGTTCAAGCCAAGAAGCCTCTGCTCAGTCAGGATACGAGAAGCACATGAAACAACAAGCAGCTTCTCAGTCGCCGAACGAATGGCAAAAGACTGCAATACGAGTTTACACTCGGCACATCTCGAGATCCTGCACGGCGCTTTCTAACCTTCTTTCAATTTGACATTCCGACTGTGAGGCCACCAGCTAAAAAGAAGAAGAGACTCGATCATGCAACGACTTTCCAGTCAAGGTGCAAGGCATCGATGACCTGAGGAGGCACTGGGACGACTTAGGCTGTCTTGGATCTGCACCTGGGATCCTTGTCCTCTCCCCAAACTCGTAAGGCTGTGACGAAAAAGAACGAGTTGTGGTCCTGCGCGATGGATTCTGCAGAGATTGTTGGGCGAACGACCTGGAACCTTCCTCCGTCTCATGTCATGGCAAAGGAGCTTTACAGCATGCGCCTCAAAGCCTCAAACTTTCGCCTTCGCAGGTCGCGGTATGGGATTCACCAGGCTACAGGTTCAGGGAATTTGAACGTAAAGACTCCTTGACCCTCTCAACCACTCACATGATTCCCTGTGCTCCTTCCACGCCGGCTCAAGCGTGTTGTAGCACGTCGGAGTCCTGAACAAGGATGCAGAAGCTGAGAAGCCGAAGGCTATACCGAGGAATTCAACTACCGTGATTCCGTGTCTGCAGGATGTTTACAGTGACAATCTGCTCCCTCACTGGGTCCAACATGCACAGCGAAACTGGCATCCACTGTACAGCTGTACGACAAGTCTGAGCCACGAGAAGTACTATGACCTACTGCGAATGCTGCTGCTTTCAGTTGCAGCAATAACGCATACAGCACTCATGACAAAGCCGATGCCAACAAACACGACGCCCAGATGAAAGTACAAGACAACCGGAACATCAACGACTGACAATCAACTGCGACTCTTACTCTGTAAACATTCAGTCATTAACCAACGAGCTATGAACGGCATATGAGCAGTCACCTCGTCGAGGCCACCATGAAGGCACACGCACACGCAAAACACTGATTCAAACAAAAAGGAGCTCTACGCCCATGCGCCTCCAACCCTGCACCTCAGAAGCGTGGGGTCACGACCCCAAAACGCCTAGGAAAAAAAGCCCTGACCTGAGCGTGCGCTCCGCTGTTCCCCCGAGGTCGACAGTCACGTACCTGCGAAAGCGTGAAGAAGGCCGCTACATGTCACTAACGGGGCTTAGGGCTTAGGCCTTGCCGCCGCCGGAAAGATTTAGGGTCAGGCTTCAATGTACAGGACTACCAACCATGATGTGGATTCTGCTGCTGGTGATAGTTACGGCCATGGCCATGGCGACGATGACACTAGTCTTGCAGGTGATGGTGATATGACTCGACGGCGATGGTGACCGTGGCAGAGAAGGGGAGCGATTGTGATACTAATGATGACCCTGCCCATTCCCAGGACTGGGCTCTTTGAACGAGATCCAGGGTTCAACACTTAAGCTGGCATCGGTCTGGGGCACGGGTCGTTGGACCTGCTGCCAGTAAGGATTGACGCCATCCTCGGCGTGCTGCTTGCTCGACTATGTGATCCAGGATGTGTACATACGCAGAACGCAGAATTTCCTGTATCTTTCGCGATTCAGTGAGTTTAGAATGTATCTCGCGACTTCTCTTCACACGCGTCTCTTGACCGTGTGACGTGGGACGACTGCTGTTGCTTTGAACTCTCTAGCCCGTGCACGAGCATCTAAAGCGTATCTCGCCCAAAGGCTTCGGCACACACACGCAGTCTCAGAAAACTGTGCCTGAAACATCGCAGTGCAGCACCTCCCACCCCAACCCCGAACATCCCACCGGGAGGCTTCCACTCCGTGCCGACCAGGCCATGGGCTCCTAGAAGCAGACCAACTCTCCGATCCAAAACCGAAGAAAGCCAGAGGGGAAAAGCAACCGTGGACCTCCTGGTAAGGCGAGTAAAGCTCGAGTCATAGAAACCTTCGGCTGCCCCACGAGTCCTTTCACTGTGAGCTTCAAGCAGCCTTTCGGCATCGGATTCCTTGGCTGCTAAGTTGCAACCCCTTTGAAGGGCTTGATACTGCTGCTTCCATGACGATGCTTCTACCTGTAACCGCTCCGTTGCCATTATTGGCTTTGTGATTGCTGTTATGAGTTATGCGCGTCAATCCCGTCCGTTCCAGCATGTTCCTGTTCTCCTGCTATTGCCTCTAAACTTGCTCGTCGCTGCTACAGTGTGTTGGTGCTGGTGGTTGACATGGTTATTGCCGCTTTGTGTTCATTCAGCACTCTCGCTCATGTGGTACTGTTCTGTTACCATGATTATGGTTGTCGCATAGATGTTCTGTCTCGCGTTGGCCTCACATGAGTCCAACCTCCACTCCATCAAGTCTTAAAAAAACCTGCCTGGCAAGATCCGAGAAGGAGAATCCCACAGCTCTAAACCTGCAAGTATGTTGGTTCCCAACCAATTCCACTTGTCAAGGAACCCCGAAAAGTTGTCCCGCCAGCCTTCCCGTCTGACTATGTTTAATGTAGTTTCTGAAGAGCTGTGTTGTAATGTAAGTAGGGAGGCTGTCGCAAAACCCACTACATAGGCGAGCGAGTCTCCCAAGGTCGAAGCTGAACGGGAAGTCACGCATCGGCATCACCACACGCTGAGGCAGCACCATCCATGGTCCGAACGTGCCTGTTGTGAGATTCTGGGGTTGGCGGCTGTGAACTCATAGCTGGGAAGTCTGCCCGAAATCCAACTTCCAACAGCCAACGACAAGTCTGACTGTCTAACTTCTGCTGACATGTATCCGGTATACAACAGTCTTACACATCGGAATGTTGATTTGAGACGTCTGTCCAGGCTTTACTCTCGAGTTTGTCGGTCAGGACCCTAGGCAGACTGAATTGGCCTGAAGCGACTGGATTGATTAGCTCGACTGTCCCAAGCGGCCGTTGACAGCACCAACGATGGCATCCTCTACCTTTTCAGGTGGTGCGTGACCAAACGCAGACAGCAGGCTAAACGTGGCAGATATGCACATTCCCTACTACTTCTTCTTCACATCAGTTCCTTATGCCCATCTGTATCATCGTGGCGGTCAGCAATTCTAGCATCATCAACATCAACAGCAACAGCATCACCATCGTCATGATCGTTCTGTCTACTCGTGTCTTCATCATGTTCGAGAACATCGTCGTCAGTGTGTCACTATCTTCGCGAAAGTATCCTGTGGTTCTAAAGGCACCGGCCAACATTTCGGAGCCCTTCGGGTCTCTTTTCCTCTGTGAGTGTTGCGTAGTTTCTCTCAAGAACTGCTTGCTTCCGTTCCTCCACTCTGCTGCCCAGCCTGCAAACCCCTCAACCCTCCAACCCCAAACCCCTCCAACTCAACCCAACCCAAACCTGAAAGTCCTGCTCTGCAAGCAGTGTCCAGCCGCCCTGCCGCTGTAATCACCAGCATAACTCGCTAACAAGACATTGCTTCGTGCAAGTTAGCGACAAATCTGGAATCAAGGCCAGTCCTGGGTTTCGGGTTCAAGGCTTGTTGGTGCACTTTCGATCTTGCGATGTACGCGCAGTATGCAAAAACAGCCTTGCATGGCAAGGAGACCACAGTGACTGGGACATCCCCGCAACGGCAAGTTCTCTTCAGACAAGCACATGCAAAGCCTTCATACATCTCCCAGTTTGTCAAGGGATAATCTCTCAGAGCCAGAGGGCCTAAGCTCCATAAAAGGGTCGTGCACGATGAGCCTCCACAAACAGGAGGCACTTGCTTGGATCTGAATCTAAAGCCATGGAGCCATCCGTGGGTGAAGTCCATGCCAAGGTAAGGATCGTCCATGGCCTCTCGACGGAGTCGTCTCTAAGACACAGGTCGTACTTTTTGCATCCACAGGTGGTACAAAGTGCAGGAGCAATGTGGCAGTATTGTCAAGAGTCACCAAAAGCAACCATAATGCAAAACAAGAGCACGTTCAAGCCGAGCGTCTAGATCCGTACCGAGGACGTCTCGAGCATGCATAAAGGCCTGGGAGCTGGCACATCTGGCAATTCTGATGAACATCTGACGGACAGTTCTGCAAGCGGATGGGTCTCCCCTGAACCCTGAAGAATACGTATGTCATCCTGAGCCTACCGCCTCTCGTTTTGAAAGCAATCACTTTCCTCTTTCTTGCAGGCTGCAAGAGCAACAAGCCCCGAAGAAAGACAACACCCTCGAACCCCACAAGTTCACCCCGTTGTTGTGGAAGCAGAACAGCGGCATTGCCCATGTACATGCAGACCGCATCGAAGAACGGCGGCTCTGGCACCTGTCCCAAAGCTCCAGCATAGAAGGGTGCCCTAATTTCGGGACCTTTATCATTAGAATAGAGTTCCCTTTAAAGGGGTCTACAAGGGTTTCTATAAGGAATACTATAAGGGTACTACAATATAGGGGCCTTAATAGTTACAATAGGGTTTAGGCCAGTTTAGGCGCCCATTATACTATAGGTATATTAAGAACCCCCAAAATAGTATAGGTATCTATTAAGGCCCCTAGATTAATCAGCCAGATCCTGGAACAGACCACGGTCCACGCTCCGGTGCAAACCCTGCCGGCCGCCTTGTTGTGGAAGCCGAAATAGAAAGTACAGCCCAACTGCCTCAAGTCCAGCGTGAGATTCTGGGTAGGGCGTCAGTGTGCGAGGCCTAGAGTGGGGAAAACGGATGGTGCGCTGTTTTAGCTGCAGAGACGCGTTGCCATCCCATTCCACATCATCCTGTCTGGCTAGCTTCAAGCTTGAGGGGTTATGGGCTTAGCAACTAGGGCGATAATTAAGATAACTATACTCAAAACTACCTGTAACCACAAATCAGGTACTCATAACATTACTTACTAAGTCCCATGATACTCCAAGAGGCCTACGATAGCCTCTGACGCAAGGAAACGCGAGGGCAGGTCTCGCAAAGTCTCGGCCACCCCAGTCGTGCCACCGAGCCGCATGCTGGGAAGCTCGACGGTGCCCAGTTTGCCTGAGGCTTCATGGGTTTCTGCTTTCGGCTTCCTGGACTGACGGGTCATAGCGAGGCATATCATATGTTGAAACTCAGAGATTCTGCGTCGCCCTCTCACCACTTCTCTGACGAGTCTTCACGCATTCAAGCCGCATGTAATACTGTGTTACACATGATGGCCCCAAACACCCAAAAGCTGGCACTTCATTGCAAGCCGGTTGCAAGTAACCACAATCTTGGGCTTCGCGTGCCAGTGTAAGTGCAGCTTCAAATCCATGAAGGAGCCCATCTCTGTGTCCTGCCGTCGATTCAAAACCAAGTCAGGAACAACCTTCGCCTGTTATGAAACGCCCCATGATTTCCGTGGCCAAACCCTGACCCTATAGGCTGGAAAAAGAGGCATGCCAGGTCCTCGAGTACTTCCACCTCGTTGCGGGCTTGTCGCTCTGCGGCTCGTGGTTGAAGGTTTGGTCAGGCATTCGTTGTCTTTGTGGTTGTACTATAGGGTTTTGGGCCCCATCATACTATACCTGTAATTAGGAACCCCCAAAATAGTATTGGTAATTATTTAAGCCCCTATATTAAACACCCAAAGGTCGCTACAGTATAAACTGTGGTCATCTCTGCTGAGAAGTACGCGTACACCTTCAACGAAGGCCTAGACGAGCAGGGCAGTCTGTCGCAGTTCGACGTGGGCCCCATGTTCATGGCGCCGTCGAAGCTTGAAGCTACGAGTATGGTTTCGGCACAGCCCGGCTTCCCCGAAGAATGCCCTGGTAAAGGCCCCGAAAAGCCCTGCATCGAGACCCGCTCACATGTACCCGGAGGTTCGCATGCATTCTACTTGGATTAAGCACACAGGGTCCTATGGTTGGCATCATTTACAGCAGCTGTGGATACGGTGCCCCAGGGGCTGCTTGCATCATGTCGACGGAATGAGGAAGGACCCAAAGAAAGCCGAAGGCACCTCACCAAACTCTGGAGGCACCGGGCCCAGGTCTACCTCCACCGTAATTGGTGCGAGGAAGGACAACCTCGTGGTGCTTCAGGGTTTCTAAGGTTTAGGGGATCTACAGAAAGTTTAAAGGCTTGGGGATTGCAGTCTCGAAGAGACGAGACGGCATATGACGGAAGAAAAGGTGAGCTGTCGCAACGCTAGGCCTGAATTTCTCAAGTGCAGTTCCGACAGGCACCCCATCTCCCAGATTGACACTCGGTGCTCGAACCCAAAGCCTCCGTGGATCAGGGAACTGAAATGGCAGTGTCCGAAAATCGGGGACCCTAATATAGTTCCCTACATAGCAGGACCCTTATTATTAATATAAGGACTTGGGGGGCCCCAATATAGTGCCCTAAATTAAATAGTGGGATCCTGATTATGAGAACCGAAAATTGATTACCCCTAACTCCCAGATGGGCCAAGGCCGGCCAGCTCCGTCAAGATCCGACATTTAATATTTGATATATAACATATATACATATATATATATATATAGAGAAAATGTAATCAATAATAAAGAACAGATAATATGGAATAGGTAATAGTGGAATATATAACATAAAACATATAATCTGTAATGTATAATATAGAAGTTTTGGGATCCGACTTCTGCTGCCAGGTCTCTTGTTGTGAAGCTTTGGGGCAATGATGTCCTGGGGAGGCTCAGACTGCTCGGAGCATCGCTGCCCTTGTTGACAAAGCTTTCCCGGTCTTCCGAAAAGGGCGGAGTGCAGGGGTCTTAAATTATAGTAATGATCATAATGATAATAACAATAATAGCAATAGTAATTATATAAACATTACAATTATTATGGGAGAATAGAACATGAACTCACAATACTCACAAGCTTCTTGATTTTGGTCTTACATGTTGATTTGCTTCAAAAACCACCAAAAGAGTCCTTCATGGCAGCGGAGAACTCTGGGCCGATCACCTCAGCTCCCGAGCGAAAAACAGAAAACCCCGGGGGGGGGGGGGGGGGGGGGGGGGGGGGGGGGGGGGGGTGGTGGGGGGGGGGGGGGGTGGTGTGGGGGGGTGGGGGGGGGTGGGGGGGGGTTGGGGGGGGGGGGGGGGGGTGGTGGGGGGGGGGGGGGGGCTTTTAGGGCCCTGAGGACCTTAGAGGGGCTCGGGGCTTGGAGACTTTAGGGCTTCGGCACGAAAGGGCCTTTTGGGGCCTGAGGAGGGCTTCGAGGGGGGGTTCAGGGTGCCCGGAAGATGTGTTGCGGTTTCCAGCCCAAGGTTTCCGAGAAAAGGGGCTGGCCAGACCAGATTCATCAGGAAGTTCGTCCAGCTGGACTCGATGGGCAGCTGCAGAGGCTTCGCTTCCAGCTTCTGGCCAGGAACGGGCACTGGTCTCCGGGCTTTCTGCAGAATGCGGGGTATAGCTGTTGGGACTACACAGCCTGCACACTGGATCCCTCAAAACCCAAAGCAAGGAGCCCCTGAAAACAAACTAAAGCTTTAACAACAAAACCTTGTCGTTTGGGAACGCCTGGACCATGTCCTGGAGGATCTTCTCTCGATTCGGAGCACCGGTGGCCTCGCATGCTGGAGATCGGAGAGCTTCGGCTTAGGGTTTAGGATTCGGGTCTAGGGTTGAGTGTGAGGTTTCGAATAGCTGGACTTCGGGTTTGGAGCTCAGTTTTGGGAGTTGGGGCTCGGGGGGGGGGGGGCTCGGGGTCTAGGAGCCGAGAGGGCCCCTGTCACTTCAGGGCGATCCTGGCGAAGCTTGGTGCTTCCGAGTAGAGATCCCAGGGAACTGTGGGGAGGGCCTTAGGGTTCATCACTAATGGTAGGGGGCCTTAATAATAAGAACAGGGGCCTTCATAATTAGAATAGGGTTTTGGGGCCCACTATGCCATAATCATAATAAGGAGCCCCCGAAATAGTATAGGTAATTATTTAGGCCTTTATAGTACTCAGTTTAAGAGAAAGAAAGCCCCAGGCCCAGGTCCCCAAAGATCCGAGCTCAAAGGCTTCCGCCTGGAAGTTCCCGACGATCTCCTCGAACCCCGGCAGCGCGAGACAGAGCCCGAGACAGGCAAAGGGAAGGGGGGGGTCGGCTTCAGTGGCTGCCCTACTTGGACGTTCATGGAGAGTTATCCTTGGAGGATCATGGGACTTAGAAAGTAGGGTTATGAGTACCCTAATTGGGGTTATGAGATGAGTAACGATAAGTGTAGTTACAATAATTACAACCCTAGTTACTAAGTCCCACGACCCTTTAAGTACCCTACTTGGAGGTTCATGGAGAGTTTATAATTGGGGTTCTAGGGTAACTATAGTTACAATGCATATTAGGGCTACATGATGCTGAATGCCTCTTGACTTCCCAAGGAAAGATGAGATACGGTAGCAGTGCTCCCTCACCTCCTGTGAAACTTCCTACAGTGGCTTCTTCGGGCCGTCGGCTCATACACGGCCTAAACCCTCAACCCTAAACCGAGTAGTAGCTCTCCTGGCCCATATAGCGAGAGATCTCCGGCCAGAGACGCTCCTTGAGTTCCTTGGGTTTGGGGCTTTGGGGTTTAGGGCTTTGGGGATTCGGGCTTCGGGTGTTGAGTTTTGGGCAGGCGGGGCTAATTTTCTTTGGACGCTCAAAACAGAGCTTCAGGGCGAAAGTCCTGGTTTCGTGGTTGTCCGTGAGTGCAACCTTACCTGCCGGCACCGAGACACTCTGACTGCTCTTCGCATCAACTGAACCGTTCGGCAATTGACGACTGCAGCACAACATCCTGCGAAAAAACACGCACACCACACTTGATCGAAAAGCACAGACGCATAAGTGTGGGCGGATCATGGCCAACTTTTACAGAGAAGTAGACAACAGAGGCGAGCTGCCACAAGCCAGAAGGTCTTCGGCTTCTCCTTGACCACAAGTCGTGGCTGGCTCGGAGAGCCGTGCCCAAAGCTGGGACCACGGGAGGAGATCCACCTTTGAGGGGCGAATTGAGACTTGAAGTCCAACCCAAGGAGACTTCGGGAGCTACTTGGATTTGGGCATCTTTGCATTTTCCTGTGCCCAAATGGGTGGTTGTCAAAATTATGCTCCCTTTTTGGGTCCCTATTATAATACGGCACCTAATATTTAGGGTACCCAATAATTTTGACAACCACCCAAATATGGAGCTATGCTCGGCATTCTTCCGCGCAGGGCTTTCGGAGATCTGCCCTCAAGGCCACTGCCGAGGCCAAATAGGACAAACTTTGCTACAAGCACACGATACCTCGGCCGGTTGCCTCGGTGTCCTACTACTTAAAGGGTGATGGGACTTAGGAACTAGGGTTATAATTAAGGTAACTATACTTATAACCCCAATTAGGGTACTTATAACCTGACTTTACTAAGTCCCATGATCCTCCAAGTAGCCGAAGGGCCCTGACGATTCGGCTGAAAGACCCTAAACCTGTCCACAGCATTTCCGCGCACGCATGTGGTAAGGACAAAGATGCAGCTCCAGCCACGTTGTCTGCGATGCCTTCAGCAAACCAAGTGTGTCGAGGTGCAACTTGCACTCGCACTCAGATCACTTTTTCCTAAGCATACTGTGGCCCAAGATCCTGCCTTTCGAGTTTCAGCAACTTTGCATCCCTCGGAAAGGGTCTACCAGTGAACATAAAACCTACAAAGATCCGGGGGGTACAGCATGATCCATGCCCGCCACTGGTTCCTGCCGTCTTGCATCGAGCCACTCACCCCGATGTCAGAGCTTGTTGCAACCCCGGATTCTCTCCGAAAGGCTTCGAATATTTTGCTGTCTGCAGCCTTCAACCGAAGATTAAGATGGTGCCTTTCTCCACATATGCACTCGGATCCCGCGAGCAAAGGCCCGGAGCGACCCCGAGACTTCTGTGCCGCCGAGTCTGCTGGGCTTTGGGGCGCGCCCGCAACGTAGGAGGACACGGAGGGCACGTACCTAGATCCACGGTCAGGGTTTCGCTGTCGGGTTTCACCAGAGATCGAACTGGCCAAGCTGCGACGGAGCGGGAGTCGACCGCTGCGAGGGCGGCACAGAATGGGCAGGAAATGGCTGGAGGTTGCTGACAGACGGACCTTGGAAGACGTCGGTATACGAGAACAGACTCGGGAATCTTAAAGTTGACCATCGTGGAGTTTCTAAAGGACTGCAGGGAACAATGTAGCAGACGACCGGGTATGCAGTAGAACAGTGTGAGTTGGGAGGCTCTTGATCTCCGGGTCTTCGGCCCTTCTCTCTCTGGCTTGAGGTTCCAGGATCTCGACTGCCGGGGGGTCGGTTTGGAAGGTCTCGTTTCTCAGCCGAACTAGAATGTGGGAGCAGCAAACTTCAGTACACCACATCTCACCCTCCCTCTGCAACCTGCTACCACAAGACCCATGCAGTATCAAAGTCACTACTCCCCCAAGAGATCATTTCCGTACTGTTCATGAGTCAGTCACTGTGGAAAAGAACTCCGATGCCAGCACCGAGCATTGACATCTCGATGTTCTACAACACAATTTCTTTCCCGGAGCTCTTGAACGTCAGCCAAGGCTTTGCCATGGCGCTTGCCAGAAAAACTTCAGAATCTTCGGAATTGCCCTCAACATCCAGTGCAAGCCAGACGCTTGGAGTCGTCTGCGCCCTGAAGACGTGAACGAGTGTTGGGCGTGATGGTCAAGAGTGCATCACGAGGCTTCACTCGGTTGAGCTACTGCTCAGAATGTCTTTCAGCTACCCTGCAAAAGCCACTGAGCGGCAGCCCGGCTTTAGCCAGGCCGTTCGGGCTCAGTCAGTTTATCGGGCGCCAAGAGGAAGCTCTGCAGCGGATCTAGGCATTAAAGAAACACCTGCAATGTGGCATGATGGTATGAGTCCTGCTATAGTCTACATCTACGTCGGAATAAGGCGTATCGAAGTACCAGGAGGTGTGCTGCGACGACACATGTCTGCATATCTATACACGATTTGCTGATCATGATTCTTTGCCATAGCCTGTATGAGCTATGGCCTAAACAAGCGACACATCACACAGCTTGCGCCCAATGTAGCACCACTTAGCCTTGCACGGTGACAGCAAGACTATGCCTCGCGAGGATGCCCTCCCCCAGCGCGTCTTCGAAAACTTATCAAAGAATGAAACTAAGCTCACCCTTCGCCAGGGCCCGGGCAGCACACGCACGGGGCCAGGCCGCAGAGGGGGCCATGACCCAGTTTGCGGTTGTGGCAGAGATGAAGCCCCAGGGCTATACCTGCACGAGCAGTCTCCGACTTTTATCACGGTGGAGCATGCACAAATTGTGGAAATCGAGGTCTTTGCTCCGAGAGCCCACGAAAAAAACCCTGAGATCTTTCCACGCCGACAGCTGGCTGCCTCACCACCGGAGGCGGTGCGCTGTAGCGCACGGGCGTGGGGGTCGTCCCCTGCCCCCACATGATGGCTTCTCTCGTTCTTAAAGCTTCACGCCGAGTTCCCCGACACTATGGCCTTCGCAGAGACGGCGGCCATAGCAGCACGGGGATCGCGGGGGGCAGTTTAAATAGACACGTGCTCAGGTCTCTGTTTGTGCCAAGGAAGGTCTCACGTCGTGTTGAGGAGGTCGGCAAACGTGTCTCGGTCTTCTGATCAAGGCTTATGCATGGCGTTTCGTGAGAGTTCCGTGCACAGCGGTCTATCACGAGTCACTGGACAGCTGCAGGGTCCGGCGGGTTGTGCAGTCGCTGGTAATACGAATCAAAAAGCCCTCCTTCGACCTGATGACGAGTATAAACATGGATATACGGTACACCTGCTAGCCTGAGACGAGGACGCAGACGGTGCAAGCTTACACTGCAAGCTATCCGCATCTGGGCCATGGGCAGTGCGCACTCAAGCAAATCAAGCACAACTTCAGCTCTACTGCGCACCCTGACTTTGACTCCTGATCCCGACATGTCACCGGACTTATCCTACCAGGACAGTAATAGTGCAGAATAAAAGATGCCAAAACAGCATTAAACCATGGACTTTATGCATGTAGACTAATACGGGTAGAGCAGAATAAGGCTCATAGGGTATGATACAGTCGATACCGCCATGGACACTTACAACCTGCTGTGCTACATTCATGCACCGCAGTTTGCACACAAGACGATGAGTGATAGTGGCCTGTAGTACAAATGCTACTGCTCGTGGTTCCTACACACGTGGTCTTTGCTTCGAAGAGGCCCTCACCCTTGAAACCACTTCTGGCTCTGATCATGCGGATCTGTGATGCGAGACATCCTGGGAAGACTTGGTTTTAGCAGTACTAGTATGAGTACCGTGACTAGTTACAGTATGAGAATAACTTCGGATGATTAGTGCTTTTAGAACGGTCAGTATGATTGGTATAATTAGCGTGATTAGCACGGCTAGTATAATTAGTAAGAGCTGAGTATGAATGAGTATATGTTCGCACTACTTGTCTAGTTTGGTTCAACTTAGCATTAGCCATAACCCTAAACTCGAAACCCAGATATTGATAACCTTAAACGTTCATACTCGTATCATGTGAGCAGCCACCCGGACACCCAAAAATGCACTCGCACGCCCGCAACTTACCTTTGGTTAGTAAAAAATGGAGGAATGGGGTACTATTATCTCTACTATTACTACCATTCTTCCCCTGAACCCTAAACCCTAAACCCATAACTACTATTACTACCATTCTTCCATTCCCTACTAACCAAAGGTAAGGCAAGGGCCTCGACGAAGCTGAGGGGACCCCGGGCCAGGTAGAGGCCGGAGCCCTCGTCGTCCCAGCCTCCGGGCATAGGATCCCCTTAAAGGGATCCCTTTTTAAGGGATCCAAGAGGGTTCCTTAAAGGATCTATAAAGATCCCTTTAAGGGATCTATAGGGGTTCCCTTAAGGGATCCATGAGGGTTCCTTAAAGGATCTATAAGGGGTCCAGATCCCTCTGGGGGTTCCTCTCGAAGGATCTATAGGGATCCCTTTAAGGGGATCTATAGGGTTCGTCTTGAAGGATCTCTCGGGGTTCCTTTAAAAGGATCTATAGGGGTTGCTGTATAAGAACACTTCAACGAACCCGTGAAGGAGCCGCCCTTATAGGAGCCCTTATCGCAACCCTATAGAGGCTTATGAGGAAATCGAAGGGTCCATAATCGGCCGTAGGTGAGCATGCAGGGTTCAGCTGTCATGCGTCGGAGCGGACGGTGATAACAAAGTGACGGATCTCGCTTCGAAAGTCTTTACATTATCACTGCCGAAGCACACATGTCTTCCTAGCACCCCCAGCCATGCTCCCCAAGGTGTGGTGTGCAGCCCACCTTCTGGCAACGAGTATGGCAGCAGAGGCCTGTGCATGGCATGATGATTATTATTATTATTATTACGACGATTACTATCTTTATTATTACTATTGATATTACGACTAATATTAATACTATTATCATTACTATTATTATTACTATTATTATTACTATTGTTATTATTAGTATTCTCGTTATTATGGTTATTTTCTTTATTATTACCATTTTGTCCATTGGGAAAGGGTTTAAGTTCACCGAGATGCGGAAAGACCAGCGCTCGACAAAGAGTAAACTTGCATTCAGTCTTGAGGTTGACAAGCAAGGAGATATACACGGCTTAGGGTTTAGGGTTTAGGGTTTAGGGTTTAGGGTTTAGGGTTTATGAGATGTTTGCATGCAGGCTGCAGCACAGAAGTGCGCGCATTCATCAGATCTTGCAGTGCGGTAGTGCAGTGAATGATGATTCCCAAGATCTATGCTCCGAATCTCTGCAATATAGCGACATTCACACTGCGTTGCCTGGACAATGCACCTCTACACACACATACATACATACATATACTACATACATACACATACACATACACATAGACATAGACATACACGAACACATCGACATACACGTACACATAAACGAGAACATGGACATAGACAAATACATATACATACATATTTGTGCATATTCTCTGTATGGTATGTAAGTATATCTGTACACAGATAGTGTGTACAATGCATACACAGCTCAAGAAGGAGCTGTTATTGAATCCACGACCGGACACAGCTCACAGGAATTGTCTTCGTCTGGGCGGCTGATCCGCTCCGTCTCGCTCCTCGATCTCAAAGGCCGTCCTGTTTCAGGCTAATCGTTGGCAGTTGCCACTCTTTGGGTTTATGGTTGAGAGTTCAGGGTTTAGGGTTTAGAGTTTACGGTTTATGGTTTGGAGTTTCGGGTTTGTGCTTGATGGCGGACATGGCTGATTGAGTTTGGAGCCTTCGTCAACTTGGCTTCTCTGACTACATTGTTTCAAGATCTCTACTTCATAAGACTGATCCTCTGATAAGGGGATCTTCGGCATCAGCGAAGACGGTTGCCAAGTTTGTGCATGCTGCGATCATTCACTTCCCCTGTTGCTTGTCAACTCGAGTATCGATCCTCCCAGCCAGTAATTAACCGAACCCCTTTCTGTGCAGGGACTGCATGCTTCCCTGACGAAGATCAGACCTGCTCCCCTCCTCACAACAAAGCCATGCATGCTTTCGCAGGTAATACAAATACACAGACGCAAACTAGTGCTCGTGTGTGGGGGGTGGAGCGGTCCCGCTCTTCTGCTTCTCATCCTCCTCCCAGGTGAGGGCGGTGTAGTTTGAGCGGTTGCCTCGGACACAGGCCCCCAGGCCCAGGTCTGCAGCTATGTCGTTGAAAGACGAATATGTGAGCATGTGTATACATTCGCGCGTTGTATATATGCATGCATGGATGGATGGATGCACGCATGGATGGATCGATAGATGGATGGATGCATGGATGGATGAATGGATGTGTTTATTACTTTTTTATTTGCATATATATATATATATATATATATATATATGTCTATCCATCTATATATACATATACGTATATCTGTACATAGATACATATATATATATATGTGTATATATTCATTTTTGAATTTATTTATGTATTCCTGTAAGTTTTTTGATATTTATAGTGTTTATATGTATCTATACTTGTATATATGCATTTCTATTTATATGTGTCTACTGGTGTGTATAAAAAGGCATATGCATATATATATATATATATATATATATACGTACTTACTGGTTTGCTTGTTCCTTTTTTGCTTACTTATAAAACTATTGATGTATCTGTCTGTTTACTTGAATGCATGTTCCTATCTTACCTATATCTGAAATTTCTGTTTGTGTTTATCACTTTAACCATATCTATGTTCATAGTTATGCATATCCGTATGAGTGTGTATATATAGATATAGAGCCTTTATATGTGCCTACTTATTCATTCCTTTGCTTGTGTCGCATTGCCACTCAAAGCTGCAGACTGGGCGTTCGCCCAGAATCCTCACACTGCTCTGCCAAAACCAAAAGCCTGTTGAAGCACCTCTGTGGATCTTTTCTCGCGAAGGAGAGGCTGCGAGCGGAGTCAGTCAAGTAAACGAGGGCCACGGCCTATGAACTTCCTGCGGGGATAACTTCTGAGACCGTGAAGTCGTGAGCATGCTGGCTTCTTGAAGCCCAACTAGTTTCCGGCGCATCAGAAGGCAGAACCCCCATTCTCTCCCGCGCTGGGATCTTGGGCTTCTCAGGGGTATGGCCCACATCAGAGCTTCTCCAGTTCACTTCTCCGCCGGAGGGTGGTCGAAAGGTGAGGGCGTCAGCGCTTCCACAGCAGCTCGCCTGGGATCAAAGGCAACAATCCTCTACAAACTCCATGCAAGAGCGTACACATTTGTGCGTTGTCGCATATAGATTGTTCCTATCAGCATGCAACACAAGTGCCTTACAAATCGACTACTATCACTTTTGCAGATTCCGGTTGTCAGAAACGTTTATCAATGAGGATCAGGCGAACCCGCTTGAGCTCACTGGTACCTGCCATCTTCCTCCGACTTCGAAGTCAGCAGGATTACAAAAGCCGAAACCACGAAGAAGTGTAACCCAGTTGTATGCAGGCGTCTGTCTCTTGGTTCCGTGAATATCATGATGTAAAGGACAGACTGAAAAGCTTCGTGTACGTGGCTTCTCAAACACCATCAGTAAAGTCGGTATCTTCTTGTGAGGGGAGGTGACGTTTTAGTCATCCTGACAGCTCTGAAAAGCCACCCGGCACCGCGCAAGACGGCGAGGCACATGCCCGCAGAGTAGGAGCTCAGCTTGGCGCCACAGATGAGCCCGTTACCTTTGTTCGGGCAAAAGCGCACTGGAGTCTGCTTCGAGACCTTGTGCGAGCTCGAAGCCGTATTCGAACACTTGGGCCTCCTGTCTCTCACTTGTTGCACAAGTCAGGAAACCCTGAGCAATCAGATGGGCTTGACAATGGCATCTTGGTACCAGTGCTTCTGTAAGAGCCGCCAAGGCACACGCAGCCGTTACCAGAGATGTCGCACCTGGCCGCAGTCATTTTCTACCGTCTGAACCTTGGGAAGGCCTCAAGAGTGCTTTCTCTTCTGCCAAGGCACCCTTGGCGAAGAAGTTGCCTGGCTCATTCTGGTTTAGGGTTTAGGGGCTCAGGGGTTTAGGGTTTTAGCGTTTTGGGGTTCTTTGGGGTTTAGGGTTTAGGATTTAGGGTTTAGGTCATCCTGGGCGCCAGGGTGTCCCAGCAAAGTGGAGTCGTGCTAGTAGCGTAGAGAGAGAGAGAGAGCGAAAGAGAGAGAGAGAGAGCGAAAGAGAGAGCGAAAGAGAGACAGAGAGAGAGAGAGAGCCAGAGAGAGAAAGACATAAAACAGAAAGAGAGGAAGAGATAAAGGGATAAAGATAGAAAAATGAAAGACAGAAGGAGGGAATCACAGCCACACAGAGAGAGACAGAGAACGGTCGACAATACTTCGATGGCTGGATGAAGTCGTCCTTGACACGATAGGTCAACGCAACAAACCCAACACCACAGCCCTAAGTGCCTATCACGCCTCTGCAAGCGGAGTCTGTGCACCCTAACAGAGGCCCCGACCGTAGTGGACCTCGAAAACCGGTTTCCTGACAGCGGAATCGGACTTGTCTGGAGAACCCTCTGTCCAAGATCTGTGGCAGTGCCCCTCCAGACCAATGTTGCACTATGTTGTAGTAAATTATACTATCTTAAAAACTTATGATGCTGTACTATACTACACTGTACGACATGATACCGTATATACCAGTACCAGGTTTGACTACATGCATCATACTATAGCGCAGCAGACTATAGTATAGTTTACCCTGCTCTACAATGTTATGCGACATTATATTATGTTACACGACGTTAAACTATGTTCTATCACATTTTCTATATGATACTGTGCTATGCAAGTTTATCATGCTGCCTATCACATTATGCTATGATTTGCTATAATGTATCAGAAGCCGGAACCCTACTTGTAACAAGCAGGGCCTCAGCGCAGCGATGCACTCCACCAGGGCGGGCTCCTTGCCAAAGCCTCCGGAGGCGTGCTCCCTCTTCTGAACGGATGTAAATGTGTGTGTGCGTGTGTGTGTGTGTGTGTAGGTAGGTAGGTAGATAGACAGATAGACTCGATAGACAAATGGAAAGATACATAGGCAGCTTGATAGACAGATTTATAGATAGATAGATAAATAGATAGCATTTATCCATGATAGAAATACATGGATGCGCATCCATACAGTATAATGTACAGTATGTAATATAGTATAGCACACACAAACCAACCTCCCGCACCAAGCAGGTCCAATCTATTGGATGTCCTGCATGCCAAGATGCCCGCGGGATTGATGACCTGACTGCAGAAGAGACTGCCCCGAAACAAGATTGTCTGTTCAAAAACCTTGCGCCTCCTGTTCAACACACTTAAGTTTCAAACGTTGCTGGGAAAAAAACGGTCTGAGATCGCCGCAATGGCGTGAGCATCGGTGCCGGACAATAGCCTGTCACTTTCAGAAGCTGGGGCAGGTGTACCTATGGAAAACGAACTGCCAGGGAAGCAACATCTGGGGTGCTTTGACCAGGCCGGATGCTGGATGTTTACTCCTTTCTACTTGCCCCGAATTCTGAATTCAAGTTTGGACACATCACCGCACTGTGCAATCTCAAAAGCCTGATGCACTCGTTCAGGTCGTTCGTCTGCAAATGTTCCACTGCCACTCCAAGCTCTGCAGCGGTGGCGCGAATGTGCGCATCCTCAGAGCTTCGGCGCATTCGATGCAATCTGCTTGCTGCCATGGAACGCCTTTGGCTTGCTGGACAGCTCTTAGCATTGCAGCTTGTGCGTTCATGGCAAGCAGCGTAATCGGAAAGCTGCGCGGACGATCGGAAGTATGTCCGCGACTCTTCCGTAGAGCCTCTCGTGTCTAAACCTGTCCAGAGCTCCGCTGTGCGACACGATGAAAAGAAAGTCGGAGCTCCGAGAAAGTACTACATACGAAAGCAGAACAACAACAGTGCTTCTGTTTTGCAAGTTATCGCGGTGGCTTCGAGGTCTCCACTCTGGGGATGAAGAGCCTTTTTTGGGGGCTGAGTGCCAGATCTCCAGTGTTGAGATGTATGATAATTAACCAAGTGTAGTACAGTATAGTAGCTTGCATAACACAGGAGAGCATAGTTTCTTCATAGCATAGCGTAGGACAGTAGAAGAACTGCCCTCTTTCAGCTCCTGCCTTTGCCATTCAGCACCTCAGCTGCACCGTTCAAGCTCCAGCTGACTGAGAGTGACGATGGTGATGATAACGAAGGTGAGGACCGCGACAAATGACGACGACCACGATGATGTTGACAATGATCAAGAAGAGAACGGGTTGGCGTGGATGATGAAAATCATGGGCAATTTGATGATGCAGTGATGCTGCTAGTCAACTAATACCCCCATCTGACATTGCTGACGCTGCTGGTGCCGCTTTTGACACTTCAACTGACACACCTGCTGCGGCTAACAACGCTGCATCTGCTGCTGCTGCTGCTGCTGCTGCTGCTGCTTCTGCTGGTGCCGCCACCTCCACCAGCAGAAGTATGCTTTCTTTCTACCTGCAACCGGCTGTTGGGCATTGAGTCAAAACCGTCGAGACGCAAAAAGCAACCTGAGTCAGATCCCGTACACGTGGGAATGGACCTGCTTAAGCCTACCTTTCTGGCAGCTTAACTGCTACTTCGCCGTCTCGCTGGAGCTGACTGTCCGAAGCGTCCCGTCACCCTTGCCCTCATGCATGAAACTTGCCGCATGGCACCAGAAGTCGCACAGTGCCCGCCATCGATGCAAACGGGGCAGGGCGCCAGGAGAGTTTCCGAAGGAGCACCGGTCGGACATAAGACTTCATCGACATTCAAGCTGAAGTTTCTGTGTATCTGGACATATTCTCAAACTTGGCTCTTGTCGGGCTGCACGGTTAGTCTTGCAAAAGCGTGCCTGTGGACCTATGAAGTATCCGAAAGTCCAGTACAAACAGAGATGAGAAGGTGCTACACGTAGTTGAGGATGCTCTTGATCCACAGGTCGGACGGAGCTTGCTTGAGCTTTGCAGCGTTGCTTCTCTAAGCTGCAGGAGCCGTCTCCCTGCACACCTGATTGCTGCTAGGTGAAATGCCTACAAAGTCCCCAACTGCTGCGGCGCTACAGTGGATGCTTTGATTCCTGGATCTCTTCCCTTACGCACGAGCGTGAGCAAAGCCCAACGTCCCCTTGCAAAATGCTGGACAAGCAACAGCCGCACTGCCATCCCTCTTGCCACTCCTGTCCTTCTATCTACCCAAGCAACGACCTGCTTGGAAAAGCAACCTTCTCGGGCACGGGCTGGAGGGCGATGTCCCTCTCGGGCTCCTTCCGCCTCCAAATTGTTTTGGGGTTTCGGTTGGCATGTTTGGTGTTTCAAGGGGCATATTGCATTTGTGGCAATGAGAAGGTGGGTTTAGGACTCTAAAACTCATCGTGCTACCCAGCTTGTGAGTTGGTTTCAAGATGATACGATTAGCTGTCCAGCGTAAGTGCAGCCCTCAACATGAATGGCCCCCGTGCATTCTTCAGCTGGCACTCACTTTCTTCATCCAGGCCTGCCGAGCCCCCCGCGCTCGACGCGGACCTGAGACGGAAGTACAGTAGACGTTACTTCAGATTTGCAGAACTGCAGCGGGCGACGCACGCGTGGGATCCTGTTGACTCGGGCCTCGGTTTAGACACGAACGAAGACCATATCCTGGCTTCGGCCGAACATGGAAGCTACCAACTTCACATCGTACGTCTCATCATCTTCCTTCCTGCACGTCATTCTTTCCTTTGGATCCTTGGTCATAGACAGCTGCACCGAACCACAGCATGCTGCGCGTCTTGAAACGTTTCGGCTGTCTCATCTACGTTCTAGCACAAGACGCGCAAAATCTGCACTTCTTTACGCCAACGTAGCTCCATTGTTGTGGAAACAAAGTGAAATTGTCGATAAGCTTGCTGAGACCGGTACCGGGCCGTCATGCATTGAGTCCTATCTCCAAACCGTGGGCTAGTGAACCAGGCGTTGTTTTGTTCCTTGGTCTCCCTGTATCCTGCTTTGAAGTGCGCACTTTCTCAACACGTCTTATGCAACCTCTTAGCTACGAAGTGTCGGTAGGCTGGACTCTTCTTTATGTATCCAATGCAGGCGTACCGTGCCACGCGCTGTGGTCGGGAAGCAGGTCGAGCCGAAAACACAGCTGCTGCCGGCGCTCAAGGCGGAGAATCGCAAGACCGGCATACATGAAACCCTGAACCGTAAAGAAGGTACTTAAAGGGTCATAGGACTTAGTAACTATGGTCATAATTCACATAGCTATACTTGAAATTAGTCATAGCCCCGATTAAGGTACTTACGCACTAAGTCCCATGATCCTCCAAGTAGGGATGAAAGGGAGTCACGCAGAGTCAGGGCAGCCCTGACTCTTTTTTGCTTCCGCTCGTGGCCCGATGTCCTAAGCCATGGTATGCCCCTACATCCGCAACCCTACATTGTGTCTAGGCCCTAAACCCAGCATGTGCCAACATGGGCGTGGCTTGATGCCATCATGCTCCTCATGTTCACCAGCATCTTTCAACCACCGTCTGCTGTCGGATTCACTCTTTCTTTCCATATTGACGAGGATAAAACGACAGGAAACCTGAAGAAGCGGATATGGTTGGCAAACCTTGCAGCCCTTTCCAAACGCCTCAGATCCACAGCCACTCTAGTTGCAGGGCCCTGGCGCAAAAGATGCACAAGGCGATCAGCCCTTGCCAGCTTAGGTCACTCATGGATGCCAAGCTCCAAGCCCCGAACCTAAAAAATTGAAACGATCATTCGAGCCGTGTTACAGACCCAAACACTTGATTAATCCGAACTCAAACTTGCAATCTGACTCCTACGATGCAAGGGAGCCAAACCGTCAACTGCTGTGACGCCGCATAACACTAGTATCTGTAGCATTGCCCCACAAGTTACTTCCTGAGCCTGCTCGCAGCTCTTCAGAACATCTTATTCAGACGGCGTATGCAGCCCCTGCAGCCTGAGGATGAGCAAACCGTATGGGAAATACCTGCGGCTCTCAACCCACAGACAAGAACAAACACTGCGATTTGTGCATGCGCATGCTTCGAGTCAAAGCGACGGCTCCACCCATTCGGGATGAATTAAGACACGGTCCTTTGGACAACTCATGAGTGTGCGTTTCGTCTTGATCAAACGGGATTCTCAGGCAACTTGGTGGTGAAACATGCTCTACCGTAGAGTCTGTAAAGTCTTCTCCTGCGCAGAGGTCATAACATCTGGAGTCGTCGAACCCAGGCATCGTGGATGTCGCTTGCAACTTTCTCCGCATCGGACATTCCAACATCCATAATGCGTATTATGTCGCTGCGAAGAACGACATTGTTCTGAGCTTGACCTTCTAAATCAGTCGGCTTTGGCGGGAAGGTGTCGCAGAGTTGGATTGGAATTATCGGGAGGTGATTCTGCCGAGCGTACCGCAACTCGACATACGTCTCGTACTCAGCACCGGTTTTCGCACCATAGTCGGCTGTGCAGAAAGCCAACAATGCTTTGGCCTGGTATAGACCGAGGTCGGTCTTGTCACCAAACGTGTCCCCTGCACCTTGGGCTTCTACCATGAAGGTGGGAACGCCTTGATCGTCCAGCAGCTTTTTCACGCGCTTCATGTACTCAATCTTCTCAGCGCTGTTAAAGCGCCCTGAAATCAGAAGATGACGGCGTGGTCCTATAGGGCAGCGAATTGCAGAGGAGTCTGAGGATGGAAATGTGAAACCTAGATGCTAAATCCAGAACCAGCAAACGCGAACTCTGAACCCACACAGATCAAAGGAAACGTTCAAAAGCCCTAAAGCTTCAGCTTAGTTTGAAACCCAAACTCTAGCTGTTGCAGCAACCCAGAATCGCTTCCTGCCGCTTCACTGTCAGCCCGTCCTGGGAGTTTGAGTTGGGAGCTTCGACGGCGTCCAGGACGCCCGGCCGCAGAAGACGTTTCCTCTAAAGATCATGGCAGCCAGAAGTTTGCGGCTTACGGAGGTGCAGACTCTGTGCACTACGTGTATACATGCCTGGAACTACCTTTCTGGGCGCTAGGATCCTCCCGGCGGTCCTGAGGTGGTAGAGGCTCCCATCGCTGCTCCTCGTAGGGAAACCTCGACTTAAGTTGCAGGTCGCCCCTCTCATCCATGAAAGCCGAAAATATGCTCATCTCTTCCCCGGCCTTCTTGTGAGGTCCCAGTTTGCAGTATTCACGGTCTGGGTAGCCAGCTCTTCGAACCAAGACCGTAAAAGGCACTGGCGGGCCAGCATACAGACGAACACGAAACTCGTAGCCTTTTTTACTGGGCTGGTCCACTGTCATGTTCTCCGTGGAATCGTCTTTCTCGCCCTGCATATCTACATCCAGCCACAACCTCCTCTTCTCCTCCTCACAATCACATTGTTTCTCTGAGAAGTACACGTCTACGCCGCAGTCAGGGCACTGCATCCACATGTCCAGATCGGTCGGTACACCTGCAATCTATTCAGGCCCTTGTCTCAGAGGGGAACCCTGAAACTCCCAATTCTAGAGTCATAAATTGCAAGCGAGGCCTTAAGCTGACAGTAAGATGCAAGTCCATTTAGGGACCAGGCTGAGGGACATGCACAAGAATTGGCGCCTGGACTGGAGTTCTGCCAGGACAGTGTCACCCGGAAGGCAGCGTTCAACTTGCCACCGTTGTCGAAAACCTCCACGTTCGACACAGTCATCTGCGACTCGGCTAGGAAGTCTGGCTCGAGAGGAGCGTTGGGGTCTTTAGCCACCGCTCTGATCAGATTGCGAGCCTCTCCTCTGTCCTCCCAGCCCATAGCAAGAGACGCATGAAGGTGTTTCGCGGTCCTCTGAAAGCTTCGCAACTCTTCACTGCACCTTTCATGATCATTCATTTGCGCTGTAGAACGGTGCTCGCCGCCGTCTGCTGCCATGGCAGCATCAAACTGCTGTAGTCCCTCCTTAAGTGCTGCGTCATCGTCATCCGAGGCTTCAGCTATTGCTTCCAAAGCCTGCTTCAAGCCCGGATCTGAAACGTCATGTTGAAGCCTTTCTGCGGCCTCTTGCGTTCCTTCGGACAGCGAAATCTGAAGCACCCGAAGCATGGACTCGAAATCAGCCTTGACCTGGAAGTCTTCACCCTCGTCAAGTCCCTTGGGGGCTCTCCGAACTCGTCGCTCTTTGCCAGATCCAGACTTTTGCTGCTTCTGCTGCTTCATCTCCTTGAACCACACACGGTATTCATGTTCGCCACTCCTCACGTTGCAACCACTCGCCGCACCAAGCTCGCCACGCAGCAGCCAGGCCTTATACTCGCTCTCCAGTGTGTCTGACGCTGCGCGGCTAAAGGGGTACCATCCGGTCGTTTTCCCATTCACCTCCACCTGGTCGTGCCAGTACTGCCAATTCACTTTTCGGAAGTTAATGCTTGATGCATCAACCCCTTCGACTGGATGAGCGCCAAACCTCAGCTAGACTTGGGCCATTACTTCCATCAACTTGCCGAAAGGAGGCTGCACTTCAGACTCCTAAGAACTGCAGAAACGACCCCTGAAGTTCAAACCTTCTGAGCCGGAGTCTGGGTCCACAGCAAAGAACCCATAAACTGGAAAACTCTGTGCCATGGGCATCGAAGCACTCCAAGAGTCTGACAACCGCTGACCCGACATTGGTGTCGAATTGACGAGCTTGACTCGGAGCTTCGGATGCCAGAATCGACAGAGCTGTCTTACCGTCGTCGTCGACCTGATGTGCCATGCAAACACCGCGGAAGGAAGCATGAACGGTTTAGGATTTAGGGTTTAGGAGTTTAGGGTTTAGGGGAAAAACGGGCCTCGTTGGCTTGGGCACCACGGCTCAGGCACACCTCCACAGGATCCTCCTCCAACAGTCGAGGCTCTGAGGCCAAGCTTCTTGCAACTTCGCAGATGATCGATCGCAAGCTCCCGTGGCCGTTGACCAGTTGTGGATGTGCATCTGCCCACTCTCTGAAACGCTGCCAGTCCTTCTCGCGAATAAGCTTCCATACTGAGGGCACGCTGTCCAGAGACAGATTAATGGTCCATTTGTTTGGATCCTCATAGACCTTGCAACCGTCGACGTTTTCTATGCGGAACATGCAATGTGGCGGAAACATCACAACTTGTTCGTTCGGGTGCTGCGAACGCGACAGGGCACGGATCACTGCGGGAACATATCCTTTGTTGGGCGTGTCCCCGTCAAAGTGAACACGCAAGGCTGTCCCTCCACGTGTTGACTCAGCTTTGAGGTCCTCATGTTTCAGGTCTTTCAGCTTCACACGATGCAGGTCCATGACCTTTGCCAACGCGAAGTGTGGCCAGCAAACTCTCTCTTGCCGCAAGTACATGCGCTTCTGCTTCTTATCCAACTGCATTCGACGCTCAACGACGTCGCCAGCTCCACCAAAGAACTCGAAGCCTTCAATCTGCCCCTGCTGAGGCCTCTCAAAAAGACCTCGCAGCGCTCGGATGTAGGGAGCAAGCCGCCGCAGCAGGACGTCATCGTCTGTCCACAGGGATCGGTTCACCTGTTCATACAGGCGTTGGTCGTTCATATACAGGTCCAAAAAGCTGGCTTTCCTCTGTCCGACATCTTCGATCCAGGGTATTTCCATTTCTGCAAACAAGCTTTGCAGCTTTGCTGATTCTGAGTAAGGATCATGAACTTCCACATTCTGAACGAATCGATACGTCTTGCCGTCAGTGGCATTCTCGGCAACAACTCCAGGGCCCATGGAAACGTATCTCACCTCACACAGGATTCTCCATTCTTTGCCCTCGGAGTTAGGGTACAACGATGTCTCATGCAATCAAACAAACGGAGAAAGACGGCATCAAACCAAGCAGCCTCACGGCTGCAAGTAAAGCCAACCAACACAATCATGGTCTCATGTTGAGTCTGATACCCTATCATTCTTCGGCCACTAGCTCGAGATTGCTGCACATTTGAGGGACTCTTCAGTTAGCTTGAGCAAGAACAAGAACCGATCCTTGCCTGCTGCCCACTTTCTCCTGGCTGATTGAGAGGGAAGGCCGTGATGATAGAGCCCAGGTCTCGCACACGATTCAGCTGGCTCCCCACCATGACATCATCCAGAGGACACCTCGGCAGTTCTGGGGGCTTCGAGGCTCGCGGCAAATGCAGAGCATGCTTTCACGCAACCTTACACATCCCAGATCAAGTAAACCGAAGCTGATTCCGAGCACGGCGACAGCCGACCGACCGCATTGGTGTAGTCACATAGCAGTCTGTGGTCATCATCTGGATTTGATTCCATGGTCTGCCCCATGAAGATGTAGCTCAAGGGGGCCTCGAGGGACAAAAAATGACATGAACTGTGCATTTATTGAAGTAGTCGCTGATACCGGCGGCGCTTCCTGGACGGTGCCTCTAAGCATTCTGTAGCTTTGCTATTAATTTACAGGTTAACTTGGGATGCAGTGGAGGAATGCTGAATCTGCTGGGCCTCGAGATGCTGCTTGTCCACGGACACGATCTTCTCCTGGTATTCTTCGAGAAAGCGTTCCAACGACGCTTGCATGGGTGTGTTGCCCATGCTGGTCAACTCATCGGGCGGTGCCAAAACGGGTAGGCCGCTAATGGTGCATCTTGTAGCAACACCCTCAGTGATCGTGGAGCGCTCAAGGTACGACGACCGATGCAGTTTCTCCAGGTTATCTGCTAAGAAGCCACTGGCGCATGGCATCTCTTGTGCGGATTTCTGCAAATCCTTCTGCATCTGTTGGTGTACGGCCACGATCTTGTCATAACAGTCCATGGAATCGTCCAGACGTGTCACGTCCAGCTGGGTCGCCCAGGTCTTCAATGTGTACATGGCATCCTTGCTTGCTCTCACGGTGTTCATATCCTCAGTGGGGCCTTTGACCACACTCAAGGACGTGCAGCTTTTCAGGACTCGATGGCCAGTGGTAGGATCCGGGAAGACCAGACACAGCATGACATCCGCAGCATGGTAATCGCTGCAAACGTTCCAGAACCTGAGCAGTTCTTGGTAATCCGAGTCGCGTGTGTGTCTGCGCATGTTTATGTCTGTCTGTCTGTCTCTGCCTGCCTGCCTGCCCGCCTGCCTGCCTGCCTGTCTGTCTGCTGTCTGTCTGTCTCCCTGTCTTTGTCTCTGTCCCTGTATCTGTCCTTGTGTCCTTCTCTTCGTGTCTCTTTGTGTGTGTGTGTGTGTTTGTACGTATGTGTCTCTGTGTGTCTTTGTGTGAGGATGTGTCTGTGTCTGTGTCTGGCCTGCTCCTTTTAGCAAGCACTTAACCAGAAGAAACAGCATACTTCACAAGAAAGTCCAGAAAACAACGGGCGCACGTCGACTTCGGCAACCTGCCTGTTGAGGCCTGGAGCCAGCTGCGCCAGGCCCCCGCAAATGAACCACGAACTCATCTGGCGATCGAAGATCTGCTGAGGGTCCAAATCCTGCTGCTTCGCAAGGCCGGCATCTATGGGCACCAACCACGGAGCCTCTGAAATACTCGAAAAGTGGGGAGGAGAACTTGGCACCAAACAGGCTGCTCGGACCTGCTCACCATCGAGGACAGGTGCCGGACTTATCAGATGCACCGCCCATTCCGGATCAGAAGGGTCACAGGTCGTGGAACGGACAGCACCTTTCATAACGAACGAAGGCATCGGACGGCTTCTCGCTCCATGGCTGGGTTGCCCTGGGAATCGATTCGTAGTTTCAATCGTTTGGTACCCGGTCCACACTCTTTGGACGTTCACACCTGAAGGCTACCTATTCATGTCATGGAGCACTCCAGCCAGGGTTCATGCATTGACTGCATTCAAGACACATGTTTTCTTGACTTCGTAGCAAGACATGCATGTGTTGCTTTGCACTATGATGTTGAACTTTGCCCTTTCCTACTTGCTTTGCGTGTTCAAGTGGGCTACAGAATAAATCTGAGCAGCTAGCAACGAGTTGTGGTATGGAGTCTGTTGGCATCAAAGCGTTCAAAATGAGATGTCCCCACATTTGCACGTGCCGCTCCGTGCCCGGTCCATGCCCTGCCCTGCTTAATCCTTTGGCGCAACGACAATCCGACCTCCTGTCATCTGCCACCACCGGTTTTGAGGCGGAAACACAACAAATCCAGAACACAATGTTGGCACTTTTGCGAAATCTTGCAGCAGTGGCGACCAATCTTGTTGGTTGTTCGGCTGGGATCCTTCAAATCTGGGAAGGACCCAATGCAGATATTTATGTTTTGCTTCTTGCTGAATTCTTGCTTCTGCCGTTGTTCATCGATGGTTGGAAGCAACACCTCAGTCTCAACTCCAATTGCTGTAGGAAACATACATACAAAAACTTTCTTTCACTGACTATTGAAACACCTGCGTCATCACGGAAAATCATAGAGTGTTTCCTGCATCCTTTATCAGTGGTCAGAACTGACAACGTTCCTACAAACTGTATATGAGAGCACTTCTACGACTCTTGATGTTTCGGAAAAATGGGGCTCGGTCCACTTTCTGCTAATTACATTCGATCATAAGTTAACTAAGGTATGTCGAACTTTTCGAATCATCGAACAGCTGTTCGTTTCGTGATATCATATGGATCCTGTTGACCAAATCCAGTTTTTTGCATTCTGGCAGAAGCAATACAAGCAAAGGCATGCGACTTTTTGTCAACACAAACGATGAAACTTTCTCCTCCTAAGAAACGCGGAAACACTTCAACAACTGTTTATGCTGTGTGGGTACTGGACAACTAAAAACCCGAAAACGATTCGCTGTTGTTCTCTTGAATTTAGTAAGCAGCAAAACGCTCTTGGCTCATTATGAACTCATGAAAATGACTTCATAGAACCCTGTTGCCCCTTACAACAAGACAACAAGACATAAGGGAGCCGTTACCATCCTTCAGAACACAAGTGGAAGCCATCACATCCTGAGCACAAGTTGTCTTGTACCAAAATATGATGTTCTAACAAGTGAGTTGGACAGCGCATGCATGTCATGCAACTAAAACAAGCACGGCCGCCCAACCGCCGGCAAAATAGCCCCTCCACCCTGTCAGAAATGAAAGTCTTCTTCACAGTCACAAATACATCGATGTCTTCTGAAAGGATCTCAAAACATCTTTCGAAATTTTTGCAGACAATGACAATGACATTCCGTTTCACCCACTCACATTCTTTGCCTTCCCCGAACAAGCAGTCTTCGAATGGTTGTGGTCGTGCTCACGGATAGTAGCAATGCTGCTGGCCGCGTGAAAAGAACAAAGTCCCCAATGAGCAAAGCGACGCAGAATGAAACAGATGCCTGACGCCAACAAAAAGCAAATTCCATTGTGGGACAGAAGCAGAAATTGCCGGCAGACCGAAGAAGGATGCGAGCTGCGGCCGGCTGCGACCAACGCCTGAACGGCGTCTCTGGGGTTGGAAGATTTTGGGTTTTGGGTCTAGGCTTGTCATAGGTGGCGGTTTGCGGTTTCAGCACTTGGATGTGTTCAATGATTGGGTTGGCATGAATCATTGGCTCTGCTTTGAGGATTTCGGCTTTTGGCTACAGGATTGCAGCATTGAGGCTGAAAGATGTTTGCCTCTGAGAGAACTCGGGATGTAAGACCGTCTCGGCAGTGCTACAGCAGGAGTCACAGCACCTGACCCATGTTGCGAGTCATGCTGGTGGCAAATACTACCAATGCTAGTGGCGCTATGACGACCGTCAGTGCTGTGACTTCTGCGCTTAAGCTGTCATGCCCACCACGGCTCCCAACCTATTGCGGGCTTGAAGAGGGCATCACGTCAAAATCCCGAACGCTTCACTAAATTCTCTTGACATGTGGGGTTTAGGGTTTCAGGTTCAGCTTACTGGGCTTCCGGCTCGGGATTTAAGGCTTCTAAGGCTTCCGGCCTTCACTAGCATTCAAGTTATGGTTGCCATTATCACTACCACTATAACTATGTTTCTTATCACTGTTATTACCCAGAGTATTCCCATCAATCCGATTATTACCTCTATTCTACACAATAACCGTCTATAGTTATTCTTGTTATAGTGCTCATAGCTAGGAACCATGAACTATAAAGGATTTATGTGACGGTCGGGCCTGCATGTTACATATATGGTGGATGGTTCTTGAAGGGCTCCATGTGGGCAGTTCTCCACGTTAGGATCTTTGTTGGATCTTCAGGAAAGAGTGCCGTATCAGAGGGATCCTAATTTGGAGAACTACCCATGTGTTTACCATACTTAACAGCACCCATGCAGTAAATCCCCTTCAAAACCAGCCTTCACATCACAAACTTGACACCCCAGATACGTTTTGATTCCTCGCCGACTCACATGATACTGTAGGTGGTAGGCAGCCTTCGTACGACTAGCCGTGCTGGTACCAGCTGGCGGGAAAGCAATTATGATCGGGTGCTGAGGGTAGTGAAAAACCTGAACTACATAGGTAGTGACTGAACTTGGAGCACTCGTTGCAGAGTGCCACCGGTGCTTCAGCCCACCTCTGCTGCCACTGGGAACCGTATGCCGTCGCAAATTCGTCCGCGGTGTGCATCTTTCCATCTTCCCCAATGCGCCTTTGCGTTACCCAGCTTGCAGACTCCCACTGTCTCGCCACGTTCGACCAACCTCCAGCACGTGACTCTTGCAAGAGGTCTCCAATCGAGTAAGCATAGACTGCCTCTCCCCTCGAGTAGAAGCTACCCAATTTCTGCGCCGGCGGGCTTCCCATCCAGTGCGACATGTAGTCACTCCCATAACGGTCTTGGAACCAGGAAGCCGTGTAAGGCTTTCCATCCTCTGCATAGCGATATGCTTGCATATCGAAGGACACCCGAAGGGCCTGATCGAGAGCCATCTGCTTTTTGCGTCTGGCCTTCCGAACCCGCCTTTCTTCCCAAATGCCGCCTTCATTGTCATCGGGAGGCTCGGGAGCGTTCTCGTAAGCACTCCAAAACTTGTCGACTTCACAACCAGCCCCAGCCACCTCTATGGCCCAAGCGACCCGCTCCTTCTTCTCGAGATAAACACGGTGAAGCATCTCGTAGAGTTTGCGAAGCTCCGGCCCGGAAGTCTCGACATCTCTCTCCACAAACTGCAGAGCCGTCGATTGGGCGTCCTGCTCGCTGAGAGCAAACGTGTTGGGGTCTTGGAGAGTGAAGTACATCGACCGAAGTCGCTTTGGGTCTAGCTGCTTCTTGGCGTAGTAGAAGGTCTTGGAAACGGCATCCATCCGGGAGTAGCCCAGCCCCCCCTTCTTAAGGTCACCATTGAACAGTAGGTACAACTTCTTGAGGTATTTCACTGTGACGTTGCAAGCCTCGAGGTACGACCACTCCTCTGCGGCCCACGACCACGCTTCCCCGTCATTGAGGTTTGGGGAGTATTCGTCGAAGTCCCACGCGAATCTTCTGCTGCCTTTACTCAGCCAAGCCGCAAGCTCTGACTTGAAGCTGACAGGTTTTTTTTGTTTTTTTTCCGGTGTCCGTGGTTTTACCGGGGACACGGGCGATCGTGATCGCTTGATGGGCTTCTTTTCTGGAGGCACATATATTGAACCTCCAGGCAAATATTTCACCCAATGAGGTGGCCCAAAGTCATTCTTCGTCCGGCGTGCCGATGCTGGAAGCATCAGGAGCACGAGAGCCACTCCGAAGCTCCATCGAGTCATGGCGGGATGGAAACTGAGAGCCTGGTGTGCTTCACAGAACACAAGAGAGCTAAGCCAAGAGCTTGGGCCTGGTTGGCTTGAGTCGAAAGCCTGAGCTACTTCTGACTCGGAACCCTAATCATAGTAATAGCAATAGTACTCGTAATAGTAATATTAATAGTCATCGTAATCGTGATAGTAACAGAAACAGTAACAGCAATGGTCATAGTAGTAGTTATTGTCATCATAGCAGAAGTAATGATAACAGCAATCTTAATAAACATCATAGTTATCATAATAATGATAACAATAGGATGAGAAACTCGGAGGTTGCGGCATCAGCCGGGGCCTCCGGCAGAGCTTGTTTGCAAATCATCCAAAGACGTCCAAGAAGTTGGGCATGCAACCTCGGCCGCGGCACAGAACATGACGCACTAGCCCTACAACTCACCCTGAACCGGTAAACCCGTAACGCCTCAAGACGAGCAACCGTGATGCTTTGCTCGTCACGCTTCAAAAAAAGACTTGGACTATATCACGCTCTGATTAGACCGCACTGCCATCCCTCTTGCCACTCCTGTCTTTTTGATCTACCAAAGCAGCAACCTGCTTGGAAACGCAACCTTCTCGGGCACGGGCTGGAGGTGGAGGGCGATGTCCCTCTCGGGCTCCTTCCGCCTCCAAAGTGTTTTGGGGTTTCGGGTGGCATGTTTGGTTTTTGCAAGTGGACCTTTCGCATGTGCACCTATGTGCAGGTGGGTTTGGGACGGTGACACTCATCGTGCTACCCGGCTTGTGAGTTGGTTTCAAGATGCATGAAAGCAGCTTTCCAGCGTAAGTGCAGCCCTCAACATGACGAATAACCTTTGCAGTTAATGGAACCTGTGCTCTGTACAGCTGCCAATCACTTTCTTCATCCAGGCCTGCCGACGTGTTCACCAGCCAAGCGCCAACGGTATCTGTGCATGGGGAGGAGGAGACGGGCTGCGAGGAGGGGCCGATGCGGAAACGCACTCACCGTCAGGCCTGTAGGTATCCTTCCTGTAAGCAAAAACGGTGGAGACACAGCATCACCAGGCAGGCTACGGAGCAATAGTTTCTCCAGAACCTGTCGCATCGCAGTCTAGACATTGAGGCTCAACGACACATTACAACAAGATGCAGCCCCGGAAGATTAAATCTAAAGGTGTGACAGACCGCGTCTCTGCAACGGCTGCACCTGTAGCGTTGGAAAGAGGCAGCTTATGCTACCCTAACCGATGGAATCTACAGGTGTGACAGACCATGTCTCTGCAACGGCTGCACCTGTAGCAGTAATGATACATGTAGAAACCGCAATTCGAGCATTCCTCGTTCAGCTGATACGAGCCGTAGTTCCGATGGACCCAAGTGTCGTGTGGGCACTCACCAGCAATCAGCCGCTCTCTGATCAATTGGCGCTCAGGCTCTTCAACCCGGCGTCGCTCCACACGCTCGACGTTAGCCACTTGCCGACGCTCCTCGATTTCACTTAGAGATGCGGCTTGGCTTGAAGCTGCTAACAGCGGCAGTGGGTTTGAGGCTTTGGCCTTGCAAAATCAGCAAGCAGCTGTAGGTAGCAATTTGAGGCTGCTCCCACACTCAACTTTCATCTTTCGACTGAGCTGGTAGGAATGAAATGCTGGATCCACCCTGCTCAGAACCTGAAGCATCAGCTTGTGGTGGAAGCCCAAGCTTCCGGACATGAATGTGCTAAAACCCATCAGTGGAGCAGGATGGTAAGAGTGGCACTGAGTAACACATTGCACGCAACGAGAACCCGGAGAACCTGGTTTGAGCCAGCCTATAACGACAAAGGCAAGAGTGGTCAGAAGAACAACCACAGTACGTGCCGGCAGCATAGCACGAAAAACTGAAGGAGCAGGGTGTTCTTTCGGCCACCATCAGTAGCGCTCCTCCTCCAGCAAGTTGTCCTCTTGCCACAACTCACACCGACATTGCTGAGCTTGCTGTCCGCTGGCATCCATCCACTGAGTTCCGCATTGATAGCAAAAGTGATGGCCACATCGGCAGGTCCTAAGCTGATCTTGACAAATTCGGCTCACACGGCTGCTCACAACATCTCCACGTGCTCCCTGTCATGATTGTTAGATCCGTGAGAATATGCAAACATGAGGTCTGATCCACACGTTGTGTTACATACTACGCGCAGACAGCCTATGTAAGAAGCTCAGTCCCGCTCATGTGGTTGCAGCCTGAGGCCAGCTGTACCATCGCGCCACACTTCCCACACTTTCGCCAACCTGGACTGTGAAGGAACTTAACCCAAGTTGCCATAGAGAGGACCACATTCTTTGCTATAGATGCTGAGTAAACTATGGCATCCAAAAGTACATCCTTTAACAAGGACCAGCTGCCTTTCCTCTCTGCTAGCTCCTGGAGCTGCCTCTCTGCCTGCACGGGAACAGCTTTGCTTTGGAACTCCGGCTTCCAGTCAAAGCAGCGGTTTAGGGTTTAGGGTTTAGGGTTTTGGGTTTTGGGTTTAGGGTTTAGGGTTTAGGGGTTTAGGGGTTTAGGGTAATCCCAAAACGATCCAAAAGGAGCACTTACCGTTGGGGAAACATCAAGCACCTCACACATGGCACAGATGCTTTCATTGGCCATTGTTCAAACTGTACCTGTTTCACGCACGTCAACTGCGGGCTGTGCAAGTCCCAATCCTGTAAATCTAGCCCTGCCAACCTTGAAGGGCTATATAACGAGTATATAATAGCTATATTAAGTATATTAAGGGTATATACCTAGGGGTCCTTATTAAGGGTCCCATATCCTGCTCGGCTCTGGCCTCCGTAGTTCCTCGACTTTCCTTCGCCTCATTGCAGGACATTCCCGGATGGGCTGCCCCACGACAAGCCAGGCAGAGCAAGGTTGCGCATCTGGGACAAGGGTACCTCAGTGTCAGCGGTGCGACTCCCAATAGCAAGAATCGAAGAATCAGCAAAGGCAAGCAAGGAGCAATAAATCCTTTCAGCACAAAGCCCACGGGCGGCCCCCCCGCATGACAGCCAGGCATGTTTGGGGCAGTAAGGCGCACGCGCGTCGTGGTCTTCCGGGAGGTTGTCGAGGTCCAAAAAATGAGAACCTGAACAAAAAACCCAAGCCTTCATCTGCCATTAGATTCCTTACATAATCTGACACCAAACCCCAGCCACAAGCTGTGCTAAAAGCTGGGGAGCGGACAGTACGGATTGATACAATACATCTTCTTGACGGCCACAGCTTCTTTCATCCTCTCCACGAAGACATGCAGTTCGTGTCCGTGAAGGACTCGCTGTGCCAGGCCAATGTCCTCATCTTAGGTGGCAAAAGCACTGCATACCGCGATGTTGATATATGGTGTTCCTTCCCTCTGTCCTCCCATTACATGTAAGCGCAGCTTCTGCAGCGGTGGCTACAGCAACACGAGAACCCCATTGCGCAGACAGCACATCAGCCTAGATTCAATGTTTTGCCTGCAACATCGAACTGGCCAGAGTGTCATGTCGCCGACTGCCTTCGTGAATAGCTGTGCCAGGCAGCCTTTGCACATGCAATGGCCGCATGTCAACGGGAAGCAACGTCTCCTCGGCAAACAGGAGCATATCCGCAAAGGATTTTGGCAGTCCTCAATTATGCATTGGAAACCACAGCACCATCCCAAGTGAAATTCGAAAGATCGAAAAACTCTGGCACTCAACTCAGGCCGTCCGGATACTTAGGATTCCCTCCACTAACGGGATGGGAACAAGGATCTGACGCTCAACTGAAAAGAAACATCGAAATGCAGCACACAAGATTCTGCAGCAACTTAGTCCCGGACATCTCAAAGCAACTTGCCTGGACCATTGGTGACACACAAAAACCAGAAAAGGGCTCTGCTGGGTCTTAGCGCAGTCCTTGAGTTTGGAAGGGGGGCTTCGAGGGGAGCCCAATGCAGATCGAGTTGCACATTTGACGCGTCGTTCGGAGCCATCTGCTGCAGGGTGGGGCTCTGGCACTGGTGGAACCTGGTCATTCGATGACCCAGCTGCACCTGGCAAGACCTGGGTAACAGCCAAAGGTAGCTGGTTGCTGGAGTCGACGGCCTCCGCCTCCGGTTCTTCCTAAAGCACTGGGAGGTGTTGGGCTGCTCGCTCTTCGGCACTTTCTTCTGCACGGCGCAGGACATCCTGTACCTGCTGGTCGTTCCTGGCCGCGTGCACTTCTTGCGCAGTCCGAGCATCATCGCGCTCCAGCTCTTGTACTCGAGAAAGATGTTGCTCGAGCTCCCGTGCAGCACTGTTGTCGGCTGCAGCCTCACGATGCAAACCGATCTCAATAGACTGGACTTCATAACTGAAACTGGCATCGTCAATGACAGCTTGGACTTGCTCCATGTCCTCCGTCCACAGCTGCACGGCCTGCAGGTAGTCAGCGTCATCTGAATCGGAACTGGAAGGACTGCGCGTGCTGCCTGTTCGCAATGAGGCCAGATCAGCCTGAACGGAAGTGAGCTGTTCGACGACAGCCTTTCTGAGCTGACGATTCTCCTCCAAATGACGAAGTGACTCAATGCTTTCCAGAAGTTTTTTCCGAATGGCCAGGCTAGAAATCTGGAGCTCTTCGCGAATGTCTGACGCAGTCAGAGCTAGAAGCACCGCGCCATCAACTTCATTCTGCTTGAACTGCTCGAATACATCAGGACGTGCAACATCATGACCTTGCCGTAACAACCATGCCTGCACATCCTCAATCGTCCATTGCATTGGAGACATGGGGGGATGGATTGTGCTTATCACGGCACAGGCGACCCGATGGCGGGACGGCTAGCACGCACGCAAAGATCAAAGCCCAATGCGAAAGACGGCAAGTAGTGAATCAACATGTTGTGGCTCTCTCATGTTTTCTGAAGCAGAGGCAAGATGGAGTCACTCAGGGTTCTTCGCAGTGGTTGCTGAACAGGCAACCCGAACTTTGCAGGACAATGCTCCCCCCAGACATGAGCAGGTGCCAAAAAGTGATGAAGTGGTTGCAGTCAAACAAGCATTTCTTGAAAAAGAGGTGCTTCAAAACCCTCATCCTTTCCACACGCGAATTGCACTTCGAAGCAAAAACTTGGGAAAGGAACGCGGCTTCAAGACCAATCGATTGGTCATTTGGTTCAAGCTTTGTGAAACAGCTTCCAGCTTGTTTTATGCCGGCACGCAAGCTTTCTTTATGTGGAAAAATGTCAGCCGTGTTGAAACAGATTGGAAAAGAACACTGTGCGACCGATGAAGTGTGTATTTGCAATCCAAACAACATAGCAATTCACAAGAGTAGGATGCTGTTCAGGACAGTTCTACACCACGCAACACCAAAAGGCTACGAGGCTACTGCGAAGCTACAAAGCGGGAGCAAAAGTCGACAGTGGCTTCACTCGCACTTCTCTCCTTTTTCGGCTTGCCGGAGTACGACTGCTCTGCAGGTTGAAAGCTGCTCTGTGAAAGTTCCGGGGTCTTTGACCTTCCGGATCGAAAGCTGAAGCAGCGGAGCAGTCGAAAAGCCCGTATCGTTAAGCATTGATAGGTAGAAGAACAGCAAAGTGTACAAAAGCCAGCAGGAAAGCGAAAAGCTGGACTGTATGTGATAGCGGGCTGCGACGTAAGCTCTCTGTGCTGAAAGCAGCCCCCCAAAAGGTGTGGGCGGGCGGGAAAGTTTTAGAAAGCAAGCTGCTGTTGCGTGGTGTATGCTTGAACCCAAGCGGGGCAGCGGGGTAAGAACTTCCGAAACAACCCTGAGTAAACACAGGAACCGTTCAGGACAGTTCTACACCACGCAACACCAAAAGGCTACGAGGCTACTGCGAAGCTACAAAGCGGGAGCAAAAGTCGACAGTGGCTTCACTCGCACTTCTCTCCTTTTCGGCTTGCCGGAGTACGACTGCTCTGCAGGTTGAAAGCTGCTCTGTGAAAGTTCCGGGGTCTTTGACCTTCCGGATCGAAAGCTGAAGCAGCGGAGCAGTCGAAAAGCCCAAGCAAGAAACTGGCAAGCCGAAACCTCGCAAGACGCTCTAGAAGCCAAGTGGAGAAGTGAGGTGAGGAAGCTTCAAAGCATAGCTACTTGCGCTTATTGGAGCCTCGGTTTGTCGGGCCCAATCTGGTGGCTGATGGAAGCTGCCACTTCAAAAAGGTATCAGCTGGAAAGAGTGTCACTTGAAAGCGGATCTGCCAGAACTCAGAGAGGTAAAGCTCAATGCGGTTTGATGGCAGAAACTTGGCCGGAAGTTCTGCGCAGCCGTCCCACCGCGAAAGCAGGTCTGCTGCAGTCCAAAGTGACACCGGTAATGGAGCTCCACATCGAAAGCTTGCGAACGAAAAGATTAAGTGGTACTTTGGAGGTGTAAAGTTTGTTACACACCGATTCAGCGCCACTATTATCGCTCAAAGCTGGTAATTTCAAAGCCAAGCGGCCAGAACCATGGGCTTTCCAAAAAGCGAGAAGAACGTAGCACTGTGCCAACGTCTCATAGCTGGAAATGTCCAAGTTGGCGTTAGGCTGCATTGGCAGACCGAGCTCCAGGAAGTCCTGCACGGTATAGCGATGCGAAAACCAAAGCAGGCGGCCACATGGGAGAAGGAGCCATCCCCCGACGCCGCAGTCGTTGCCTTTGCCGAAGGCATCGGCTGCTGATTCCACTGAGCTTGTGGGTGGTGGTCTAAGCGGCCGTGGACGCCAGTCCCTGGAGCTCAAGTGGGCAAAGAAAGAAAGTGTTTCTCTGCTGGATTCTGAGAGGCGTCGCTTGGATGAAGTGGGGTCCGTAACCCGAAGCCACATGCGTTTGGTGCTTACCGGGACCAAAGCGAGATCAGCCTTGCTGTGCAATGTTTTGTGGCGAGCTGACAACAAAGTGGATCCTTCTGAAATGCTGGTGCCCGGCGGTTTACCAGTGAAGCGGAGCTTGTCGTCCAAGTATGTATGAATACCTGGCCAAAGGCATGGGCTGATGCTTACGTTCGTCCCAAGTGGTCTATGCATGTCATCGTAAAGTGTGCACAACCAGGGTCGTAAAGCAGGAAGCCCATGCAGAATCCACTGGAGGAGCCCGAGAAGTTTGTCAAGCTGTTTGCGGCTGACAAGTCGGTGCCGAAGGCATTCCTCCACCTGGGAAAGCAGCTTCAAGCGTTTGGCGTCGGGAAGAGTGTAACAGCCGGCATGGAAATCTAACTGCCACCCTATCCAAGTTATAGAAGGGCCCATCTGTAGTTTGCGCCAGCTAAGCGGTATATTGAAGCAGGAGCAGAAAGCCAAAACCAGGGAAGCGCTGAGGGGTAGTGCGCGAGCGTTTTGCCAAAGAAGCAGATCATCTACGTATAACATGAGGACATGGGCTATCCAAATAAGTAGATGTAAGCAGCGCACAAAGAAGCCTCCCAAGCGGGCAAACCAGTGGCTTGAAAAAGTGGCCCCGAAGGGACAGACACGGTAAAAGAAGAGGCGGTCCTGCTGTCTGAGGCCAAGCAGACCTCTGTCTTGCTCCCGCACAAGTGATGTTTTGTGCGCTCCCTTAACATCTAAGCTGAAACCGGAAGCGGGCTCCTCATCCTCGCGCGGCGGGAAAGCGGCCTGTATATCCTGGAGGCAAGGTAGGGAGAACTGTTCTGGTACATCGCAGTTCTGGTTGGTGTTGCAAATGCTGTTGTCGATCACCAAGCGGGGAGCGCGGCCTGGAGCTTTAACGATGTTCACCTTACCAACTGCAACACGATCTTTGCCCCACCTTTCGTAAGCGGCCTCCAGACTGGCCATTTCTTCAATGTAGCCGGAGGACACCTCTTCTTCAATAAGCTCCTGAAGCAGGGCAGGATCCGCCTCGGCTCCTTGCCAGTTGCCTTCGCAGATAAGCAGGTCTGCGGAGCTTTCCGTTTCCTCTGCACTGCGGGGACGTAGGGTGTGGCTGCGAGGGATATCCCCATCAAAGCCCGTGGGGACCCCCTTCTGCAAAGCGGGAAATAAAGTTGTGTCTTTGTCCCCCAAGAGGGTGCTCAAGCGCTCAAGTGCCGATAGGCAGTATGGTTGACCCTCCTTGACAGAAAAATCCCAATCCTGAGCTGGGGAGTGAGCGTCCGAAAAGCGTTTAAAGGATCCACGCAGCCACGATGTTTCCTCTTCCGAGAAAAGTGGGCTGTTACTGCCTGCTGCGACATGTTGCTGAAGGCGAAGTGGTATCCTGTGCGAGAGGAGCCAGGACTGCCATTCTTTGCGCAAATCGTGCAAGCTGTCAGACTGGTATCTGGGGCCCATTGACCAGTCCGGCAAGGAGTAGATGCCACCGCCATCCTGTGATGCTGTAGTTGTCGCTGCCCGGGGCTTCTTGGGGATCGAAGAGAGTGCGAAAGCCAAAGAACAAGTTGGAACACTGTGGGAGGGCCGGCGTGACGAGAAAAGTTTAGCCGCCTGCTGAGCAAAGCGGTTTGCTAACTGGGCTGGGTACTCTGCGGTGCGCTGTGACAAAAAGTTGCCAAGCTCGTCCCTGACGCCGGCCACAGAAGGATGACCCTCCGAATGAGAGCATGTACCTGCCTAGGCTCGCATATCATCGAAGCTGCATGCTAAAAGCCAAGATTTGGCTATGTCCTGGCCAACTGAGCATGCCGGGATGTTGACCAGTGAAGCCTGTATCTCAGCAAGCATGTCCTGTACGAATGGTTCAAGCCAAGACATCGCGTTCGTGGGCTGTTCCAGAGATACATGTGCACCTGAGTTGAAAGCGGCCCGAAGCAGGCATACACAGCGATACAGAAGCTTCTGGCTGCTTACCACGCGTTCCTGCTGTGAAGCTGTATTGCCCGGCAACCCGTTGAGATGTTCCGGGGATCGGATAGCAGCAGGTCCCCCGGGGCGTAGCTTCAAGCGGGAGTACTCTTTGCATGGCGGAGATCCATGAGCAAAACGTACAATGCCTGAGAAGCATAACCGAAGGAGGTGATCGTACGTGTCGTCGTGCAAGAGGTCCAGCTGCTCCTCACCAAGCAGATCAATGGGCAAACATATGATGCCACATGATGAGATCGCCGTGGTAAGTGGGTGAGAGGCACCACAGCAGATATCTAAGAAGATCTCGACGTGCGTGTTGTCCTTCGGTGCAGAGGGTACAGCCTGAGGAAGTGTTGTAGGTACTGGAGGCAATGGGAACCCCAGTGACCTTAAATGTGCAAGCGACTTCATGTCGAAGCTGTGCAGGTTCCTGCAAGTGTAGGCAGTCAATACCCACCTGTCTCCTTGGATTGGCATCGTACAATGGAGGGATTCACAGCTAAAGGAAAGCGGTGAATGCCAGGTGTCGCGCAATTCACCTTTGCTTGCATCTTCCGCTCTGTGGGCCTCGGATGAGGCCTCCAATGGGGCCGGGATGTTGGCAGCAGAAGGGTCCAAAGCTGGGCTAATCCAGATCTCCCCTCCGCTGAAATTGCCGAGTGAAACTGTGTGATTGAGTGTTCCTGAAGCGTTGCCAGCATCCGTGTGTAAGCGAGTACGAACGTTGTGACTCACGCACAAGGAGCTCCAAGAGGCACCCGGGAACTGAAGCTGCATGAAAGCGTTCAAGAAACGAAGTACATCGGAAAATTGTTCAGTGCGCTGAAATATCCCCGACCTAGTGCCGTTGTCAAAGGAGAAAGCTCCCAGGTTGAAATATGCTCCGGAAGCGTCAATGGCATTGTCAGTGGGGCCTGCGGCATCAATGAAGGGAATGGAAAAGTACTGCGCTAAAAGCTCCAAGCAGGTAGCGAAGTCGAGGGAGCCTTCACTGATTGCCAAAGATGCAATGGATACTGGGGCACCAGCCTTGGGCAGTGCCGAGGTTGCCCTGCTGAACCTGAAGGTTGAGCAGGCACTGAAAGCGGGACAACTGTGACCTCCTCAGCGATGTCCCGCTGGTCGCTGAAGTGGGTTTCCTAGTGCGGGGTAGCCACATGCTGAGAAGCTGGGTGATTACCCCCGCAAGCGGTGCCGTCACTCTTGGGCACTGCGCATCTGTGCACATAGCGGCACGTGGCTGGGTCCTTGCACTGACCGCTCTGGTAGCGCATGCAAAGAGTCTGGCGCTTGCCATCCATGAAGATGGTTGAAAGCCATTTTCCGGGAGGCGTCGCCTGCTTGTTGTCCTTGCCTTTGCCACCTTTGCCGCCTCGCTCGAAGCGCTCTCCCTTCTCGCCTTTGCCATCGCGGCCTTTGCCGCCACGGCCCCCGCCTTTGCCTCCACGACCGTTGCCTTTGGCGCCGGCCTTCCAGCTGTTGTCCGGGTCGTGCTTGGGTTTGGGTACGAATGGCCTGGGCGCAAGTAAGCTGTGCAAATCAGAACGCACCTCCGCCACTTCGTGAAGCGCATCATCTAGCTTCCAATGATGCACATTGACTAAGTCGGCGATGATTTCCCAACATCGGCGATCAGCTGCCTGGGCTTCCATCGTAGTGGGGCCCCGTAGGTTGGCGGAGGCCTCGTATTTGGTGAAGCAAATACGGGTGAACTTTTTGTTGTAGAGTTTCAGGGAGCCTAGGTGTGCCCCCTGGCATAAAGCGATCGCATTCGCAGCAAGTGAGAGAAGCTGTGTCACGAAGCTGAAGGAGGCGGGGCCTTCATGTATATCCCGGGTTGGAGCCTCGTCGAAGAAGAACTCCGCGATGTCAAAGCGGGCCTGTTTCTTGGGCCTGATAAGCAAGCTGTCTTCTTGCGCCCTTGCACTTAAGCGGTACTTCCAGGGAATCCATCGCACTTCCTTTTCTGAAAGCATCTTATTGGTAAGGGCCAACAAGCGGGCGCTCGGAAAGCTCTCGGCATCGAGGAGTTCAGTGGGGTAATCCTCCTCGAACCTTTTCCTAAGCGCTGCAGTGCGTTCGCCGCTGAGTTTTGCCGGCCAAGCCTCCTGCCATGAGCTAGAAAGCGGGACTGCGGCCGGAGCGGTTGGCACAGCTGTTGAAGGCGCTTCTCCAAGCGGGAGAGCAGAACTGGGCGTGGCTTCTAGGGATGCCATGCCCTCCGCCTGCCGGCATTTGGAGAAAAGCAGGCGTAACGACGCTTTAGTGATAAAGCGTTCCGCTGCTTCTGTCACCGCGGCTTCGGTCATGAAGTGGGTGATCAATTCCTCTAGCTCGGAGGAAGTTGTGCAAGCACGTGCGTACAAAGCGGTGTCAAACTCCGAAAGCAGAGAGGCCACCGCAGGAGGTACGTTGCAGTCCGACACGAACTGCGAGAAGTCGGACATGTCGAAGAGACCTGAGCGGGATGAATGGCTGATGTAAAGCGGGATGTGAAGAACTCTCAGGCGTGGGCCTCGGAGATGATCGTCCTGCGAGGCACACAACAAAAGTTAGAGGCTTCGAATGTGTACCTGTGGCCTGTCGCGAGGCAGCGAGAGAGGCCCCCGAGCGGGAGAGAGCTGTGCTTGACCCAAGCGGGGGAGACAAGTGATGTCATGTTTCTGAGCGAATCAAAAGCGGAGGCACACTTCGATGCAATTGTCAGAGCTTGCCGCCTATTTTCCAAGAGGGAAGCGGTGCTCGAGATGACTGGCTTACGAAAGCCGAGCTCCAGCGGGCTCACAAGCCCAGCGGGGTCGCCCGTGTACAAATTGGGTCGACCCAAAAGTGGGCGATTCAGTGCCGAAGCTTGAAAAGTGGGGGGCAGCGTGGATTTCACTGATGCTGCCATGCCCGTCCAGACCAGTTCCAGGAGCTCCAAGCGGGCGAGTCCTCCCAAGCGGTCTGGCTCTGGCCCCACTCATCTTGGCCGTGGTTCCACTGCGAAGTGGCCTCCTGGCGCTCACGCCCACGAGCGCGTTTGCAGTCTCTGCATAAGTGGTTCACGTGGAAGCTGTTGGATCTGTCGCTGAATGTCGCCTGACAGTGTCCCTGAGCGCATTGGGAACACTGGCGGCGGCATGCCCACAATTGAACCAGCTGCAAAGTGGCCCGGCCTTCGCTATCATAGATAGTGTGTCCCAAGCGGGAGGCTGGGGCGTCACTAGCGAGAAGCGGGGCTATCTCGCGCTGTGGTGTTGAAGCGGGCGGCTGTTGCCCTGTGTTTCCCGAGCTTCCGCCCGTGGTGCCCTCCTCCACAAGCGGCGGTGGCGGGGCCTTGGAAGCGGGAGGGGCGCTGGGCGTAGCCGCCGGGGGTGTAGTGGCCACCGAAGCGGGTGGAGCGGGCGTAGCCATGCTCTTCGACTTCAGCAGCGGTACCCCGGCCTTTGGGGTGGTCGACGCCAAAGCGGGCGACGAAGGAGGTCGCGGCGGCGGTTCCTTGACCTTGGGTTCACGTTGCCAGCGTTTGGCGTTCGTGACCCCGTCCCCTGTGGCCTCGGCGTTGGCCTCTTCTCCCTGAGCAGCTGAAGTGGCTCCCGTGGGGGCGCTCTCGCCACCGGTGGCTGCTTTAGGCTCCGCTGGTGCCTCCAAAGTGGGTGCAGCAGGCGAGGGAGAAGACGTAAAAGCGGCCGGTGTCCCGTAATCTTCGGCAGCGATAGAGTCCCCGATGGGGTCGATCACGGTGCTCGAAGCAGGCTGCTCCGAAGGTGCTGCTGCCAAAGCGGGTGCCGGCGTTGTGGAAGGAAGAAGCGGGTCTCCTTCCATTCGCTTCAAAAAGTGGGCCCTCTCAGCCTCGTTCATGCTTTTGAGGAGGCTGAACACGTAGTCGGGGGACAACTTGGCCATGACCCACGCTGGAAGTAAAGCGGGATTATGTTTCATAAGCTGATCTCGAGCAAGAGCTTATGGAATAACATGTCACAAGCGCGAAAAACAGGCTGTAGCACAAAGTCATGACCCAGAGGTGCAAGATGTATCGCTGTATTTCTCGGGAGACGCTCAAGCTACCTCCAAAGATGATATGATGCATGCCCGCCGCTTACATAAGCGAGATTCAGGCGGAAAATGCACAAAAGCGGAAAATTCTGAGATGCATCCACAAGCGGGGTGACATCGAACCTGGCATTGGGCATCCTTGCACGCCAAGCAGGTCATGCGGGAGCCGGGGTGGGAAATGCTGAGGTGTGCCACCCCGGATGCTCCTAGCAGATACCGCACCTCCCTGCAGTTTGTGCGGGAAGTTTGAAAAGATGGAGCTTCAAGCGGCTGCTCCTCATGTGACACACTAAGCCCCTCGCTCTTTGCATCTTGCCATGTGGGGTCGACCTCCAAAGTGGATGCGACCATCGCTGAAGGGCGAGCCGGGCCTGTATCATCGGCATCTGAGTCCTCGAAGTGGTCGACCTGCGCCCGGGCGCGAACACAAGAGGGAAGTTTGGGGCCTGACCGTGTAATCGTTGAGCATGACTCTCGGGCTTCGCGAAGTTCGCCGTCCTGTTGTTCCAGGGCGAGGAATGATTGGAAATCACTGCCAAGCGAGAAACATGTAAGTGCCGGGATGAAGGCGTCCCATTGGAACCCCGCCGTCTCGAAGGGGGGCTCGGCAAGCGGTGATTGTCCACCTCGGTGTTGCGGCCTGGCAGGACGGAAGCCGGAGTGGATCGACCGCCACAAAAGAAGCTGCGCTCTCAGGGCTGGCCATACGTCGTCCCGTGAATAGAGCTGGGCAGAGCCAGGGGTTTTATGATGTCCCTGGAGAAAGCGGGACGCCAGTGGGATAGAAAGCTGAGACATCCACGAAAGGAAGGTCGTCTTCAAACTGTGAAGCGTATATTGAGAAGCTTGGTGCTGCTCTATCCCTGAAAGCGTCAGCCAGTGGCGCAACTTCTGAAGGGCCTGTGAATAAGTGGCCGGAGCAAAGCCTGCATCACTTAAGAGGAAAAACATGCAATCTGGTTCCGGCTGGGCCCCAAAGCGGGAGCGGAGGTCGGACCAAACCTTGTCCAATGCTCCCAACCAGCGGGGGAGCCAAGTCAGCCCCCATTCCTCAGAGGACGAAAAGGGGCCGAAGCTGAGAAGACCAAAGGGGCATCCGCCTTTGGTGGTCTTAGTTCTGTAGCATATTCCCCGTAAAGTGAAATGGCTCACACAAAGTGAGCTCCAGCGGACGTGCTGGGCGTCCGCGAAGCGGAGGCTCGCACCGATTGCCACCAAGAACGACCCCGCCCAGATGGTGTCCATCAAGCTGGCTGTGCCTGAAAGCAGGGTGCGCTCAAGGAAGGCCACAAAAGAAAGCGGCAGTGGTATGCTCTCTCGTTTCTCCTGGCCAGACGGATTGGAGAGGAGACTGAAAGCTGTGCCGTACAGGTCTGGGAGGCATGCAAGTGAAAGAAGCTTCTTGTACCAGCGCAGCGCCTTGAGCACATTGATGCTGTTGGAAAGGGGGCCTGTTTCGGAGCCTCGAGATAAAGCGAAGAAAGCATCAAGGAAGAGACCTTGGTCGATGGACTCCATGTTGCCACCCAGCTCCTCAAAGGCACAAAAGAAAAGCTGAACTGAGCGAAGGTAGCGGGCCGCCGTGGTGTCACTCACCTTGCTGAGAAGCCGAGACTTGATCACTGTGCCCTCGCGACTCCCTGAAAGCTGTTGCAGCACCTCGCTGTAGGCACCATGCGATGCACAAAGCTGGTCGAAAAGTACCTTGTTGCGTTCATCGCACGCCTGATGATTATCCTTGCTGGTGACCAAGCCGGCGATCGGCTCACGAAAGGCAGGCGGGTGTAGCTCTGAAGGTGCTCGCAAAGCTGTTGTTGAGGGCTGAACTGGTCTCGGAGTTGCCAGGGAAAGCGATACCTGAACAGGAGAAGGCTGCTGCATGGGGTAGACCGCGTAAGCCGAAGCGTCCTGAAAGTACGGCAGTGCCTTCGCCGTCGGGAAGATCTGGGATGTAGACTGCTGCACAGGCACGGCTTTAGGGGCTTGCCGCGGAGTGGGGAAGGGAGCGCAGGGGCGGAGCCGAGCAACTGTAGGCTGGCGCCCGTTGTGCCCCACCTGAAAAGGGGAATTGTATCGCAAGCACACCCTGGGAGCCCGCCAAGTGGGTGCCTTCGGAGTAGCAGGCAAGCTGGGTCTAGGAGGGGTGGATTGCAATGGCATAAGCAGAAATGTCGAAGTTTCTGAAGGCCACCCATGAAAGGATGCATTCTCGGGCACCGGCTGGTTCTGCTCTATAAGCTGCCAGGATTGATCACCGCTGGATGCACCTGGGCTGTTTTCCATAGGTAGGGGAGGAGTCACCGGGGCACAATGTGCTTGGTGAAGCCAGCGGCGTCGAAGCTTACTCCTGGGTTCAAAAGCTTCCTCTGCATCTGAGTCAGCAACCTCAAAAGTGGGTGCTGAAGCTGGAGGCTGTGGATTAGGGTCTGTTGGATCTGCAAAATCAGCAAAGTGGTTGCGAAAAGAATCCCTAAGCTCCAAAGCTTCTTCAGCAGAGCAGAAAGGTGAAGAATCAGCCAGGAGAATATCCGTAGCCACCCTGCTAGAAGGCAAAGCTGGCGCATCACCACCAGACTGTGCAGAAGAGGCCATGGCTAAAACCAGATCCTGAGGCGCGCCACCGTCTCTGACAGCGTTTCGCGAAGCAGGGTCACGAGTGACCTGACCTTAATAGCCAGTTTCTGAGTGGCCTCCTCCAAAGCTGTAGTCCTGTCAGACAAGTGGAGCAGCCAGCCGCGACCTTGGTGAAGCTGGTCCTCCAAGCGTTGGACCCTGCCGTGTAAGCGGGAAATTTCCGCTCGTTGAGCCGCACTTTCAGCTTCCAAGTCGTAAACCCTATCACAGAGACTCCTGACGTCGTCGGTAAGGCCGGCTTCAAGCAAGCGAAGATCAAACTGCCGGACGTCCCTGTCGAGTTCACGCAAAACAGCTTGTAGCTGGGAGCTATGCGGCGCAGGCTCAAGGTCCATGCAAAGCTGGAGGCTACAGCGTGTTGTCTTAAAGCTGCTGAGAAGTAGTCCTGAAAGCTCAAGACCTAAGCAGAAAGCACATGCAAAGCTGAAAGCTGAGCTAAAGTTTTAGAAAGCAAGCTGCTGTTGCGTGGTGTATGCTTGAACCCAAGCGGGGCAGCGGGGTAAGAACTTCCGAAACAACCCTGAGTAAACACAGGAACCGCTCCAGCCAAGCGCAAAAGGATCAACATGAGCAGCCAAATTGCTTGGAATCGCACACTTCACTTCGTCCAAAAAAGTCACGGTGCGTGCCGATTGTTTCTTGCACGTTTGGCAAGAAAGCAAGTGAAAAATGGACTGGAAATGAGAAAAAACATTGTTTTTTTTTGTTTGGGCGGGCTTCGTCGGCAGCGGCTGCTGCACTCAGTTGTCTAAACCACGAAACCGAACGAAACACACAAGACAGCGGTGAAACGAGAGCGCAACTACCTAGAGGGTAAGAAAGAACTGCGGCGAGCAGACTTTGTCGCTAGGGCCGTTCAGTTTTCAGTTCACTACCTTACTACGGCCTGACTCAGCAGCCGGCCCGTCGGACAACAAGCGACCCCGTTCACCCTTTCCATCACGGCTGCGCACACCAAAATCCAAAAAACCAGCAGGCTGAGCGATTTCCATCCTTGCACTTAATGCTTTGAACATAGCGGTGGCGTTCACCGCTATGTCTTTGTGCATCCTGCACCATTGGTGGACTCGCCCCACAGCACACCTGACTCGCACGTGCCACTAGTCGGCACTCCTCTCCGTGGCCTGCCGTTGCACGGAAGCACCTGGCCAGCTGTCCAGTAGTGCCCGAAAACTACCTTAACGATCCTCCATATGCTCATCCGACAACAAGTATAGCTTCCGAAAATGCCTGTGCTGATACAATTGTTCCAGCTTGGACCAAATACAAACGGCTAATTGCTTGGAATAAAAGAAAGCACATCGTATGCCGGGAAAGGACATCCCGGCCCTTCTTGTAAGCTGCGGGCCGTGGTAAAGACTCGATGCTTCTCCTGCCACACCGTGAAGAGGTCCAGCCACCCAGCCGATTGGTATACAGCGTGGGCAGACCCAGAGACTCCAAAACACTCTGATTAAGAAAACCATCTCTATTTAAAGCAATCTTGTTGAATTTTTGTCGTAATTAAATCATATCGTTGGTTTTAAGGATGATTCTTCTTAATTAACATACTTCATTGTTAATTATACAGCAATTCATGTTTAATTAAAGCTACATGCGTAAAATTAAATATATAATGATTAATTAAGGTGTTTTGCAGTCACGCGTATTTCAAAGTTAAGAGATATTTTTGTTCTAATTAGCAGGCATGATTTGCATGCTTTTGAGGGTATGAAATGCATGCATGCATGTATTGTGGTGAGTATATGGTGCTTGATTGTGCTGCATGGAATTCATTCATACAGGATCATGCTTGCTTTCCATGTTTTTGACCGTTTTGCATGATTGTTCACGTGTTTTTTGGACATGGAACCAAGATTTTCAACGATTTTTCGCATTGACTGCAGAGTGGCATGAGATGTTTTTTGCCTGGATTATTTTGCATGGTTTGCTATTTTTTGGCAGAGTTTTCACGTCATGGTGGTGCTTGGCATGGAGATTTTGCAGGTACGTACAGTCAAACCAAGAAACGGCATGCATGCTACCCGCGGGGGACGGTTTCGGCTCTTTTGACTTCCTTGAAGTACCAGCAGAAAGCTCTCAAGAACTCCCAACAGCAGAAGGACGACGCTGCCAAACGTTGGAGGAGCTCCGGCACCTCATATGTCCATGCATGACGAATCCAATTTGGTCATCAACATTTCCATGACCAACCATTCTCTCTCTTTCTACATATGTTTATATACTAGATGCATATGATAACGTAAACTTATAAACAAATAAAAATATGTGTGTATATATATATAAGCATGTATGTATGTATGCGTGTCAATATATGTGTATATTATATCATACTGTTATAATCTTTTACGATGCCATGTTCTATATCAAATACGGTGCTCTATCTATACTTTGGAACCATTAGCATCGGTCATCCTGATGTATATTTGTGCACAATTGTCTTTTGTTTTAACCTTAGCTGTTATTTTCGTTACCGGGCTATAGTGTATACTCCCTAGCCCTAGGAGTACAGAGCCGGCGACCTGTCCACCCAGCGAACAATCTTGGCGAACCTGTCGAAGTACGGGGTTCAGAATTGTTCGTGGGTCCACAGCCTCCAGAACCTCACCACCACGACCGAGACGGAAGGCGAGCGAGTTTACACGAACTTCCTCACCCGGATGTAATTCTGATGTTTATCAAGTTTAATATGCATGCATGTGTTTCCTTTTCGGCAATTTGTTCGATGCAGATCATCGTCTCGCCAAGGAGGGCGATCTTCGAGAAAGAGGGCACGGACGTCAGCGAGCTCACCCCCGAGCAGGTGGAGGAAGTCTTTGAAGACATCCTCTTGGCTTAGGAGAAAGACTTCGGCTACGAGAGACAGGTGCAGAAACACCCTAAGCTCAAGGTGTTGGACAAGTTTCTATTCAAGTGGTCCGAAGGGCAGACGAACGACACCAGCACTTCCGTCTTGCAGCAGCAGATCTCCATGGCCAACAACATGAAGAAAGGATCGGCGAATGCGATGAAGATGCTGAAGATGCAGACTGGCGAAGGTGCACCAAGCGAAGGTCCAATCGAGAAGCCGAGCGAAAGCTTTCGTGCGCTAAGCGAAGGAGCTCGAAGCCTTTCGGACCCGGCTGTCGAAGATCAGCGAGGACCTGCTCTTCCTGCTGACCCAAGTGGAAAGCCTTGCAGACAAGTCTTGGGGCACGAAGAAGTCAGACGTGAACAGCGGCTTGTCTACCCTCAACGGCTTCTTGAGCAAGCTTCGCTTGAAGCTGTCCCAGAAGCTTCCTGTGGACAAGACCAGCGACCAGTGAAGCGGTGAACGACTTGACGAAGCTGCTGGAAGAGGCCACGGTGCACGAAACCTGTTCCAAGAAGCTCGTTCGGGTGACTAGGTCCCTGCTGGACGACAACGAGTGAGTAGCTAGCAGGTGCTTTCTTCGGAGAAGATTTCACACCACTCCGAACGGCTGCAAGCAAACCACCATCTCTTATAGACCAAATCAAAAAAACATCGGTCTACCTCACGTCCAAAGGATAGGCCAAGGGACTTCTTCACTCTTTGGTACGTCTCTTCCTTCCAAAGTCCACAGGTCTTTGGCCACTCCTGAGTCAGCAGGACGTCTTGGCAGTGGTTCTGCAACAGCTTTCCTAAAGTTCTAAAGCTTTCCAGGAAGCAAGGTGCTTCTTCATCTGCTCACGCCAGCGATGGCGAAACTTCGGTTTGTGCCAGTTCTTAAACCGAAAACTACACGTTGCAGTACATGGCGACGCTATATGGATATAGATCTTAGGCGGATTCCTCTTCAACAGACAGAGCAGCAGCACCTCTCCCAAGAACAACTGAGTGCCCTTACTCAACTGTTTTCCCCTTCTCGTTTTGAGGTTTGAGCCGAACGCTAAACCTTCTACTAAAATCGTTCCTTCAAACTTGGATGAATATATGCACGTCAGAGTCATATGTATAAAGGAAGTATAAAATCAATCCTTCAGCACTCGGACGAAGACTCTTTTTCTCGGATGGTGGTGAATGTCCCCTCGTCGGAGGGAAGGCAGGCACATCTGGTGTGCGTAGCCTCGCCCCCCGGTGAGACCAAGGTTGGTCCGACCCCTTCCCATACAGGGTGGGTTGGGTGGGTACCAAAAACTAAAACTGAGCCTAAACATATCGGAAAGACGGATTCTCACTGAGAACTGAAAGGATCTGAGTCAAACTGAGAGACAGTGAGCTGAAAACGGAAACTTGGAAAAACTCAAAACTGAAAATATCTCTTCCCGCCCGGCCGCCCAAAATTCGAAGGTTTCAACAGTTCAACTGGGCAAGCCCAGTAAAGCCTGTTTTCCCCTCTCTCACGGTGTCACGACAAGAGCCCTTGCACCTACCATGGAGAGCAGGCGCGCAGGTCCCTCGCCGCTGCAGGTTCAAGTCGTCTCGTTGTCCATTCGTCACTGTGCAACGAAAGGCTCGGCTGTACAAGAAGCGAGAGCTGCTAGGCCTTGCTACTTTCACATTCCCCCATGCGAAACAGCAAAGCGATGCATGATGGTCAAAGGAGAGTATATACTACAAAGCCAGGTGTCATGAGATGACAGAGGCTGCTACGAAGAGTCCTCGGTACCATACTTTAGCATGTGTGACCAAGTTGACTCCAGGAAAAGACTACAAGACTACGTACACGTCAAGGCTACGCTCGTACTCAGTGGGGCTTGCCGCAGGAACTTAGGACTCGGTCTCCAGAAGACCGCAGCAGCCACAGCAGCCACAGCGCAGCAGCCGCCAGCAGCCCCAGCGCAGCAGCCGCAGAGGCCACAGGGTAGCCTCGACGAGGTAGCACAAGAGGGTGTTTCGAGCTTCCAAACGCTGCCAAGCAAGCCCAACGTAGAACGGTCTAGGCAATGCTTCGTCACAGCAGGCTGCAGGGAGCATCGCCACTGTCTCGAGGTGCACCGGACGGTGCTCAAGCGCAAGAAAGGAAAGACCGCCCCTGTCAAGGGGCCTGCACTTCGAGGGCAGTCACTGCCCAGGATGGGCCACGGCCCCACATATCGAGTATTTGTTGTAAGAAAAGTCCTGGGGTCAGAACTCTCGCCAGCAGCAGCCTCGCTCACTACGTGAGCATGGCCGCGCTCAGCCAAGGTTCCTAGCTTTCACCAGGTGCACCCGGGACCCCTAAGGGGAAAAGGAGGGGCCTAAACCCAACGGGACCCAAAGGGGAAAGGGAGGACATTGCAGAGCCGCATAGGGCCTAGGAGCGCGATCTCCAGCCGCAGCAGCAGCTTCACGCAGCAGGGCGAGGCCGCGCTTGGCAGGTCGGAGTTCACTCCAGTTACACAGGGGAGAGATGAGGCCTAAACCCGAGTAAACCTGAAGAGGAGGAGCTCACAGGGGCTCACATGGGCATTAAGGGGGTGGGCCTAAACCAACACTAGGGAACCCCACAAAAGGGGAGTGGTCCAGCAGGCAAGGCACACTACGAGAATCAGGTTGGGTGCAGCCCTACAAAACCCATCCTAGGGAGGGGAGTCCAAAGGCTTGAGATGATCGTACAGAAGGGCAGATGATGCGGCTGCCGCGGAGATTGCAGCAACTTCCCATCGCTCAGCTTCCTCAAAGCGTCGATGCCACTCCACTCGAGAGGAGCCTTGAGCCCTTGAGTCACGTCTTTGGTTGGCTGCCCGGTCGGCCTTGTCATTCAGGTCACGACATCGGCGATCATCCAACCCTAAAGGCGGTTGCCAATCAAGTCGTTTGTTGTGCGAGGGGACCCACACCAGGTGGACAGCTTTATAGTCCCGACGGAGTGCTTGCAACAACGCAGCCGACTCCTCCGCCAGGCACCTGAGCTTGCTAGTGTCGGGGCGCTGAACAGAATCCAAAGCACTTTGGCAATCGACCAAGACGGTTACGGTGGAGTTTTTGTACTGCTGCCCCCTCGGGAGAGCCTGCAGGAGGGCATTCAAACCGACCATCTCGTACCGAAAGGGAGATTGGTCTTCGGCATCATCTCCTGCGGAGAAGGTGTCTTCAGAACTCTCCGTCACCACTGCACAAGCACCTACCCCAAGATGATGGCTCCCATCACTGGCAACAAGAATGTTGCCGGCATCATGTGTCAGGACCTGACGGAAATGGTCTCGTAAAGCCTGAATCATGGCTGGGACCTGGTTGCCATCAGGGGCAGCTGGGTATTCCGGCAGGGGGGCTCCAAACAGCCTTTCTTCTACTCTGTTCGTGGGGGTCCGGAGACCCTGCCTGTGCACAGCTGTCTTTGGGCATACCCACGTAACGTGGGCTCGCGAGGGCCAGGAGAGATTGCACAGGCATTTGACCTCAGAATCACGCATAGAGGGGAGGCGCTGACGGTGGTACCAGGCCGAACCGCCTGTGGCAAGAGAGGCTCGGCGAACATCAAGTGTCTGGCTCTGTCCGAGAAGTCTGTGGCCAGCCAGGGCGAAGCGGATGCTCGGGCACGGTGCATCAAGATTTAGGCCCATAGCAAGGCCTACCTCTGCACGGTGGTAAGAGGTCTTGACACGTCCACAGTTTGCGATGCCTCGCTTGCGGTGCTCTTCGGTGAGCCAGTCGCGCAACACTTGGATGTTCTGCCACCCGAAACAAAAACGTCGTGTCTGCCCGGCATCGTCTACTCGAGAGATGGCGGCGCCGTTGAGTTCAAGTGTCCAGCCCAAGTCGGCGGCGGTGCTGACGGCATGGGGGAGGACAGCCTGCACCGGGTTGGCACTTTGAGCTGCACCCCTTGTCACATGTCTCCCAACTGCACCTAAGGCCCTCCATTGCAAAAGCCATTTGGGGTCCCACTGCCATCCGTGGACTTCGGCTAGGAGGACCCACGGAGTTTCGCCTGTGATCTGAGGTTTGAGGGCTCGGTGGACCGACTTCCTGATGGCGGTGAGATCCTTCGCTTCCGGGGCTGCGATGCCCGCAGCCCAAGCCAGAGCAGCGAAAACCAAACTGGAACACACGACCCTTGCCACACCGAAAGAGGGGTTCAGGATGTTTAGGGCGCGGAGGCGAGCCTGGAGGGTGTCAACACTCAGCTTAAGCAAGCCGGTTTTCCCACTGTCAAGCTCAACAGTGAGGCCCAAAATTTCCAAACGGTGACGGGTCGGATATCCCAACTGTGCCGCTAGTGTACCCAGCTTGGGGCGGGCCTTAGGCTCGACAATCGCGCACTTCGAGGGACGGCAGGTAAAATTCATGACCTTATCAAAGAAATTACTACGCGTCACCCCATCCACGAGAGCCGCCTCCACGTCCCTGGCCCCTGGCGGCGCCCATAAGAGCCTATCATCCACGAAAATAAGCGCCTTGGTGGGACCGCCCCGGGTGACGTAAGCATGCCACACGTTGCCGATCAAAAGGGCGCACAGGGGAGACAAGGGGCACCCCTGCAGAAGACCTTTAGAAGGCGTCCTCCACCTTCCATTGGTGACTTTGGAGACCTTGAATAATCTTTGAGCATTGCTGTAGAACGATGCCAGCAGCCTGCCCAGGCACGGCGGGGCCCGCATGTGGTCAAGAATGGTGAGCAGCTGTGGGAGCCTGATGCTGTCAAAATACGCGGATAAGTCTTGTTGAATGTAGGCTTTGGCACCCTGGTGCCAGCTCTGCAAGATGACGCCATGAGCGTCAGTGGTGCCTTTGCCTGGGGCTCCTCCAGCAGCCTGGGGCGAGCACCACGATGCAATCCACGCTTGCATACGCCTGCACAGGATGCGGGCACCCGCGCGCCAAAAGAAGGATGTCAGCGCTATGGGGCGGTACTCAGTATGTGCTTTAGGGACAAGTATTACCAACGCACGTCTCCACAGCAGTGGGACTTGCCCACTGGAGAGCACAAATGTCCAGAGTCGTCCCAAGGCTTCCCACCACTCAGATGGCAGGTGCAGGGTCTCGGCACCCCATTGGTCGGGGCCGACGGCCTTGTGGGACATTCTTTTGACCGCATCAAAAAGTTCCTGCCCTTTGATGGATAAGTCCACTGAAGCCTGAGTCGGCCTGGGGAGGGCACTCAAGATTTCGGCCAGGTCGGCCTGGTTTATGGGCTCGGAATCGCAAGACCACTTATTCATCCACACCCTGCTTTGAGTATTGACGACAGAAGTGGGGTGGATGTCAGTGGGAGCTTTGGCCAACTCGCAGGGCGGGGTGTCGAGCTCGACACGGCGCGCAGCCCACCGCTTGACCCAGGCAGTGGCAGCAGTGACATTGTTGGTTTCAGTCCTCCACCTGGCTATGCGAAGCTGCTTTTCCTGGGCAGTTAAGTCCGACCGCAAAGCTTCAACTCTAGCG